CCCTCTCTCTAGCTCACCAGCAGCTTTCAATCGTATTGTGGGACAGAACAATCGGCGGTGCTTTCAAAATTGAATCATTTACCAGCCGTGTGATTCTGATCGTTGTTACATCCCACCTCAGCGGGATCCTCGCTCTCCTCGCCTCTAGTGACAGCTTGATCACTCTCTCAGTTGGTGCTCGCTCGCAGCTCGCAGCTGTCTGCGGTGGTGCCGCTGGCATCGAGATTGACTCGAAATCATCATCGGCTGGATCACCAGCTGTGACTTATTGGCGGTGGCTCTTCCGTCCCTCTTCGATCGTGGCCATCCCCTGTCATCGGTTCCTCTACTGGATCCGTTGCTCCTTGCGAAACCCTCACCTCTGAGACCGTTGTTACCAGTGGTACTAGCACCACGGAGACAGCTCCCACTACCACCTTTACTGCGTCTTGCACCCATTGTGAGAGCTTTATCACTGAGACTCGTGTCTCCTCTACTTATACGGAGGTGCCCTCGACCACCCCCGCTCCCTCGATGACCAAGTCTCACCTGGTCACGTCCGTCACTGCCAGCGTCAGCGCCTGTCTGCCCTTCTAACTATCGCCGAGGGCTTGCGCAACCATTTCAAGACGATCCCAGCGGTAGACCCTCGTGTACATAACAATTCTAGTTTCGCACACTTTCTCAGTGCCTTTTAGCATAGAACGTTGACCAGGCCATGTCGGTTTGCTTGAACAAGGTCCGGGCGTCCCATGTTTCGTAATTGGTCATGTGAACGACCGGAGGAGTATCGTATATAAGTCGAAGCTTAATCAAATACAGTAGACAATAGAGATACGCGTTTACGAATAATTCTGTATCGAATCCGATTGACTAGAGGTCGATTCGGGATTCAACTTGTAACGTACCCTCAAGTTTTCAGATCTGAATGAGAACAATCAATCTTGCTCTGAATTACATACAGTAGATCTTGTCCGACTTGCCTTTTCCAGTTCGTCAGACCATAGCAGAAGCTAATATGTCGCGAAGCGGAAAGATCATCCACAAGAGTATCAAGTGTAGCATATTGCTTAGAGGGCGGCAAGGACAATCATGACACTGGCCGCAAGGATGTCAGTGGAGCCAGAAAGGGTCATGGCGCCATCTATCAATCAAAAGTTAGTCTTTGCGTGTTAGGTACAGGATTGGGTAACATACTACTCCAGGCATCTGTATCCTGGGCAGGAGTACTGTTGTCAGATGTCTCCACGCCAGAGTCGCTGTTTTTGTTGCTGGAGTAATCGCTAAAGCTCTCGCTTAATGAGGTGCTAGTGCTAGCACTAGAGCTGCTGGAGGGGGTGCTGGTGCCGGCGCTACTGCTGGAGCCTCCGCAAATACCCTGAGCCTGGGACTCAACTGCATCAAGGTCCAAGCCCGAGAGGCCCTCGAGCTCATGGATCTGGCAGTCCGAGTTCGAAGCGCAGTCTGTCAGGTCGTCCATGATAGAGTCGAGCACGTCGCTCGCAATGTCACCCTCATTCATCCTGCAAATACAGTCGGTATCACTAAGATCGCATCCCAAGGCCATCTCAAAGGTGTCGACGGCGCAAGAGCGGATGCATGAGGGCAGCACGCTGTTGACGAGATCTTCAGGGGTTTGGGCCATGACGGCGGTGGCCCCGAAAAGGGCAATGAGGACGTGACGCATCTCTAATAGATACAGATCGATTCACTTGGATAACAGATAGAGGGAGACTCGTGGAAAATATTCAGAAAGAAAAGAACCGGAAACTGGTGGACCGGGCCCTGCTTTATAAGGGCGGCGGAGCCTTCTGAGGGATTCATCCTAGGGCTGAGGTTGAGGTGGGTCTGAAGGTGGCACAGAACGCTCATTGAACCAAGTGATTGGCTGTGAGCAATGGGGCAATAGATCGTGCCGTGGTTGAACCTTCCCAGGCCAAGAGTAATTGAGGATAAATGAACCCGATGCCAGGCTGATACGACCTCAGGCCAAGAGGTAACGAAGAACTTGCCACGAGGGGGAAGCTCACGAGACGAAAATGCAGCCCTCTAGGGAAGCCGAGGAAGCTGCACCATCTGGAGCGTTCACGTTACAATTCAATTCTCAAATGACGTTGCAATTGGGGGTCAGGATGACTCGAGTTTACTTACCGCCGGGGAATCATCGGTGAGAATTGAATAGGTTTTAATATCTTTCTTCAGGGAGCCACACGAAATAATTAGAGCTAAAGATAGCTACTTCTACGCCGATTGCGGAGTGGGGATAATGGCTTCCCGTACTATGTTCTACTCATAGTACTACTCATAGTAAATCGCCACCAAAACCTCCGCCGCTCTCTCATTGATTACTGCTTCCTGGCCGAGCTTAAGAGCATCGTTTAGCCGCTTGCTTTTGGAGACAAAGGAAGCCGTGATTCATTCCCTAATCAAGGAATATATTTTAGAGGTCCACCTGAGCTTCAAATCAACCAGGTCTTTCTTTTCTCTCTTTCACGTTCGAGAACGGCTCTTCGATCTGCACCACTCTCTGATCGCTGTTTCTGCTCGCGAAGCCTTCTGGTTCTGACAGTTCGATCATAATCAGATCTTACAGAGACGGCAAAAAAAAAAAAAAAAAGACTATTTTCTCTCATAACTTTTTGATATGGAAATGCCATGTGGCGTGCAGCCACGTGATATAGCGGCCAAGCCGCTATTTCCTAGACCTCGCCAAAACGCGGGTTGGGTTGGGTTTTCGTTTTCTGAGCCCGCCCTGTTGAGGATCACGGTGGCTGAATCTTGCAGCAGGGATCGGAAGTGGATATATATATGAGGCATCCCGCCATGTAAAGATAACTCCTTAAGCCAACCAACGATGATCAATCTGTTCTTCAACACGCCCATGGGTTCTTGGCGGGTACCTACACCAAAGTCTATATAATTTTAATATAATTATGATTAGTCATTAAATGTATTTTTGGTACCAAAACTGTGACAAAGTTTACCACCTCTATGTTCTTAGAATACCCCGTCCAATTATATGTATCACGCCACCGGAAATTTCGTGTAATCCCGATCGATATCCGTTTTATCTTGGTGGCCGCCCGCAGATGAACCCCCCAAAAAACTGCATATTCGGGGAAACCTTCAGCCTGTGAAATCTTGGCTCTTATTGGCTCTGGTCGCTGATTGGTTAATTTTGGAAAAAGTGACTCTACTACCATCTATTACAATACGACAATTTATGCCCACCGGTTATTATGCAGCTTATTCATCAGGCAAAATGAACCAACTATCTTATAACCAAGAGATTGAACAAGTAGTAAATATATAGTTGGTAGGTCTGCCCCTGAACAGTTTGTTTCTACGTTAGACCCAAGGTAAAACGCACAAATTATTCCAGCACCCAATACAGTTGTCATTTTCCGTGGCTCCCGCTGCTGTAGAAAGATGTGTTTGCATTTCCTCTCTTTAGTCTTGCTTTCGTGCATTCTTCTCTCTGTCCTTCTGCAGCATCTGGGAGAGCGCATGAAAACCCATCTTCCCTCGCTGCCGTATAAGCTCTACCCTTCCACGGGCTTTGGCAGAGGTGTTCCGCTGGCATGCCTTTTACGGATTTCATCAATAGTTACTTTTCTACGGCAGAATTTGACCCGCTCGCGCTGTAAGGGACGCCAGGCTGCACCATACGTATCTTCCAGGGTTTGAATAGAAGGCTTGCCTCCCAGCCCGCATGTTCACTCCCTCCAGAGCTCCGGCACAGTGTGAGCTGTCCGAAAAGGTAGATAGTGAGGGATCCCTGCTGAGTGGTTTGGTGTTCTTCTAGGCTCAAAATGTCTCTTGCGTAGATGTCGCACTGCTACCGGCAGGGGCTGTGGCGGCAGGAGGGACAGGTACGAACTCGGGCATAGGTCGTGGACTCTGGACTGCAAACACGAACGCCTCAGTTGCATCCGGACTCACCGCTTGTAGGGTAAACACCACTCGGCCACCCATAATATCGTGAAGATACTCATTGATCTCTTGAGGCTGAAACTGCGTTTTACTGCCCCATTCCTTGATGGCGTGGCCCAATCCTTGCTGGAGATCTTGCCGGATATGGTCGAGGCGCTCTGCTAGGGCTGGCAGGGCCTGCCGGAGTCGGACCTCCTCCGGCTCTTCCACGTCCCGCACAGATTGCTTGACCTGTGCGGCAAAGGCCGAATAATCTTCTCGTACAAAAATCGGGTCACTCCAGATAGATGCAACAGAAACTGCTCACGAAAGATAACTGAATCTTGTAGAAAGATTATACGGAGCTGGACAAGCAGCCGTAAAAAGGCCTGGGCGGCCATATCATGCCGATCATCCTCGTTCGGCTTTTCCGTTTCGCTCTCGCTTTCCTTCTCATCCTACTGACTGCAGTCTCCGTACGACTCAAACCAGTCCAGCCATTTATCCACTCACGGCAAGACAGAGTGGGTGTGAGACTCGGGGGCTGGATCTTTGCCCGGGGCAGATAGTAATTGCCCAGGGCAGTGGCCTCAAAGCCCGCCATTGCCCGTATAAACTTTCGAGGAATGTGGGTAAGATAGCAATTGGTTAGAGCGTCATTATTCCAGTGTCCGGCGCAGCGAATTTGGTTTTCTGATACGCCATTCAGTTCCGCCCATCTCGCTCCTTCGGATCAGCCAATATGGGTCTTCTTCACCGAATTGAGGCCAATCTGGGCAAACACGCGGTTAGTCCAGTAAAGCTTGGTGTCGTATGAAAGCGGTTTCTCTGACGATTCCCCTTTAGATAAATGCAAGTTGTACCACTGAGGCCGCCGGCGGAACTCAGGTGCAGGCTCCTGCGCGATATTCCACCGGAAAAAAAGATAAAACGCAGTGTGGGCCATTGTACACACTATTGAATTGCGGTGCCGCATTACCGAGTTATATTCTAAGCGACCCATTGTGTTTGTTTTGCCATTATCCATAATCATGTTCATTGGGAAACATGATTGGGACCCTCGTTTTCCAAAGGAATGGTAATAAGATCTGCGAACTGCAAGCTCCGGCGTAACTGGCCTCGCGTAATGATATGGTGGGAGAACAGGAAATCCACGACCGCACGAAGGTGAGATTCAATGGCCTGCGGCTTCCTGCGCTGGGAGTTTTCTGGTACATTTTGCGCCCAGCCCTCCCAGCAGTATCGAACTAAAGCCTCTATTCTTTTTTCATCATAACCATCCAGTAAGGTACCTGCTGCTCGATCAATATATGGGTTCCGTTTTCGGATATACTCATGGCGTGCGTGGTCATCTAAAAGCGCAGTGACTGCCTCGCCGCGAGGGTTTGGATTTGGATTAACCCTGTTGCTCTTTTGGTATGACCAGAGATCTATCATAGCGGATACATAGCTCTGTACAACGCTCTTCCCAAGGGTACGGATAATTAACTCCCCTTCTTCGGTCGTACGTTGCTTCTTATATCGACAGGATCGGACTTCACGGCTGAGAACTTCCTCAAGGAACCAGACGAGCTTATGTTCTGTGACCAGTTCACCGACGGGAACCCCGATTCGTTTGACCCAGTCTGTCCATTCTTTCTGCTTCAGATTGTACAACTTTGAAGTATTCTCAGGACGGCTGATTCGCGATAGATTCAAAGCCTCTTCACTGTACGAAGCCGGCTGCCTAGCTATAGCCACATGACGCTCCGTTACAGCGGCCACGTCCGAAGACGTAGAGCTACTGGGAGTAGAGAGGCCATCCCATGAGGGAAACGAAGAAGGATGCGGCCGTTTCCGAGCCATATGTAATTAGTGAAGGCGGATAAACAGAACCCGACCCTCAGGCCTTTTAGTATTGCAGAGGCTTCGCCCAGAGGGGTTGACCATGGCAGTCTAACGGCAGCGATAGTGGGTGAAAACACAAGCATGGCTCGACGCGTGCAACAATGTCAGAGGTGGTATGTGCAGGTTGCTGTAGGTGCTAAATCGGTGGAATGTCCCGCCCCCCAGTGTATTTCAGCATATTTGGGAGATGGGTGGTTACGCCATAGTAGCCTACGTAATCACCCGCCGTGCCGGGCCCCCATATATCACCTATATATTTCTAAGTGGGTTAGCCATACGAGTATATGTTGACTGGACACCCAATTCGTATACGCCATGTAACCGAGAGCGTAACATATAGGTATCACGCGAAGTATCTTAGGGGGCCTTCAACTGTATACCAGTATAAGTGAGCGTTGTGATTGATATTAACGTGTTAAATACGTGTCGTTGTAGCGCATCTCTACGTAGATTTTCATTTTTCTCTCACATTTCCGTCTTTCATGTGAGATTCTGTGGTAGTATTGCCAAGACAAAAGAACGCAGAAGATACTTTCTAAGAGTGAAATTTACCATTACCAGACTTATATACTAGGTGTACACATCCCCGTACACTATGTCTTAAGTACTTATTGGCACTATCCACCTGATCAAGTGTGCCAATTAGCAACTAGTTGAGCACTATCAGGTAATATATCCAACTCAACAATCACAGTACAGGACTATACTCTTTTAATCCCTATCAGCTCAACGTATCGAGACGCATAATATCTGAAGATAATACCCGCAGACCCCTTCCGAGGTCAATCACCAGGCATGTGTATGCACAAATCGAAGCCATCCCTAGTTCTTTTTCCTAAGGTTTGTAGCTATCTTACAGCTAATTCATTAGACTCAGGTCAATATTACCGAGCAACGGTACGAACGAGGCTAATCTCATCTCATCTCATCTGTAACCATAATCAGGTAAATAGTAGTTCCGCTCTCGGACCTCTTGTCTACAGCGGTGCTGTTAGTCTGTAGGGTTGTTGTGAGTGTAGGCTTTTCTTTCTGAAATCGTTCATCGCAGCTCCATTTACATTTTCTACAGAGCATGGTGATCCGTGGTTCGATTCATCAAAGTCGCAACCTTATTCTCCTCTGTGATCGATCTAAGCGGCCACCACCGATATTTATCCGACGGTGCCCAAATTCAATCATGCGAGTGGAGCCCACTTTTGAGTTTCAATAGCTCTGTGGCTTGTTGGATAAGCTTGGCTCTTTGTTCGGTTAGTAAACAAGACGGCCAAGACCGTGTAATATCCACAGAAACTTAAAGAACAGGAAACATGGACAGACATAATAGAACATAACTGATCAGTTCGCGATACTGTACCAACGTTCACTGACGGTAAAAGTTAATGGGTCGAAGAACGTGTCGGTGTTATGGGGACGAGATTGGTCGAGAGTCAGCATAACCGTTCCAGGCCACGACAGGGACACCTTCCAGTGGAATTATTCTTCTAGCCACATGGAAATAGTAAGTCCGTTGGAATCAGGTTCTGTGGAGTGAGTGAGGAAACATAATAATCCACTAGGCTCCAGGATCTTCCAGAAATAGTGGAGGCGCCAGTCACCTAGGAAAGTCATATTTTGGTCCTGGGATAACATATTCCCAAACAGCATAGATAAGCGCATGCCCTTTTCTAATGGTTTGCACGCTTGGTTCTGTCCCGCCTGATACTGTTTTGGTTTTGGGTTGGGGATGGGCAACCTTTTCATCAAATTATGATACTTAGATTCACATAAATTTTTCCATAAACGAGCCAGACACCTTTATTCCAAACACAATGTGATATTTCTCAGCAATCATTATCTTCATTATTATTATAGTCATAGATACTTTTCCATATAATTTAAATGAGCAGAAACCAAATCTTTCCTCTATATATAGTGTGTTAGTGTTAGTGTTAGTGGGTGTTAGAGAGAGAGAGAGAGAGAGAGAGAGTATGTGTGTGTGTATTGTGATTGCGTATCATGAAGTATATCGTACTCTACTAGTAGAGATTATTGAAATTCACAAACATAGTAAGTTATTACTCTAGCATATAGTTGGCCGTATATGATTTTTGAGTAGACAGGACTTGAATTGGTTCAGATATTGTTATTTGAAATTAGACCATTTGTATCGGAGGTGTTCAGCTTTACCCACGACGATCGCATACTCGGACCGATAGTCTTCAAAAGGTGAAGGGTGGGCCACTAGTATCTGGTTTGTGTGGCGGAAAACCATATTTGGAAGCTTAGAACCCATCATATGCAAAGTTAATCTCGAGCAGGTGAGCTATAAACTAGTTTCTCTTTATAATATATACCATAATATTCCAGTGTTGGCGGAGAATTTTCGGAACCAAAAGTTTGACTGCTGGCGTGATGGCAGAGAAAAGAGCTGAAGCCCAGTATCCGGCGCTAATGATGGCCAAGCGTTACTTCGCTTCTCGGGAGACCACACTCTTGGCTTTTGCCATGGTATTTTTTAACCTTTTTTAACCTGCAAAAGATTAAAATTTATGTTTCCCACTAACACTGGAGACAGTTGCCTGCAGCGAACGACTGCAATGACCGCAGATTTGAAATCACAAGGAGCAAGCAGTACTAAGGAACAATATGATCAGCTACTACGGTCGATCAGCAGTCGTGGGAGACTTTTGAGACAAAGACTCTGCGTGGAGGGAGCATCCACACCACACCACAATATGACCACACTACCAACACATAGACATTTTGGTAGCATGTCGTTTTACTCCACTTTCGAATCGTGGGCTAGGATTCAGAACTACGAATGGCGCGGATGATCCATCTGTATGTGAGAAATTAAGACAAGAGTGGTTGATAAAGTTGAAGGAGAAGACTGAGAACTACGATAGATTGCATATTTTGCACCCCAAGTCTCAAAACAGTTCAAGAGTGGGGAAGTTGAAGAGAAAAGGAAGAAGTCCTTTTTCTAACTGAATTCACACTATGATTTTCGGTTACCACAGATCCAAACGGGCTCAAACAAACCAAACACTGCCAAAGACCAACTAAAGCCAATGATGGAATCTCTTTGCCTGGTTTTGGAAGGTTCCAATGAGTTCCCAATTTAATTAAATTTTAATTCAAAGGTAATCTTGAAAAGGAGTCTGACAAAGTTAACTTTTCATCTCGCCTCTTCAAATACCTACTTCGACTACCATTCTTATCACACTATCTGTCCTCAGACTCAACTCTCGTTTCGTCCCATTCTTCCTCCGACATTATCTACGTCTCACTTCCCACCCTCCCCGATTATCTTCCCGTCGGTGAGGCGTTAGCTCTTTATTCCTTATCGTCTGGCTATGCCTCGTTTGAGCTGGGCCTAATTCCCTCGTTCGCCTTTATGTGTCAACCTCACCGTTTCTCTTATACAAATCCCATTTCACGTCATGGAGGTCCAAATGGTAGCCTGCGCACGGGCAAAGCCTTCTTCAGCAACCCCGCAATCCGTACTTGAGAGACGGAAGCGGGTTCGCCGACCGCATCACCGAGGTTTTACCGGCTGTTCGACATGCCGTCGACGTCATGTTCGCTGCGACGAGGCGTCACCTTCGTGCAAGAATTGCACTCGCTTGGGTCTAGCATGTGATGGCACACAAGGACGGATGACCTTCAAAGTCTATGCCCCACCTCAGGCGCCGGAGTATTCGTCCTCGCCAGCAAAGAAACGAGAGGCAGAGAAGCCTATCTCGCATGTTCTGAATCCCACCGATGGGAAAAAATTGATCAGAATTGAACCCGGCGAAGAGGACCAATTCTACGATGCGCTTGTAATATCCCCGACCACGATCCCGGAATCGAAGCCGATGAAATATCGATTCCAGGAGCCCATTTCGCCAGCCGTCTTCATGTCGTTTTCATTAGATTGTGTGGATGGCCGCTATTATACTCATTTTATCGATGGTGTGGCAACCTTGCTGCTGATCTACGACAACTCTATCAACATTAACCCTTTCCGACGATATTTTCCCGAATTGGCCCGGGCATCGCCAATCACGGCAAATGCCATGCAAGCACTGGGAGCATTACATCTCGCAAACACTTCTAGAGGTCAACAACGGCGTCTACACTTTCAGCGGGCTATGGGCAAATATGGAGAGGTGGTTAAGTCTTTCCGCAGTCGATATACACAGCCTGTCCAGAACCTGCAGTTGACAGACCTCGCTACTTGTTTATTACTGTCTTTTTTCGAAGTAAGTCGCGTCTCAATTCCTGGTGGCCCGGCATCTGCAAATACTTTTTAAGGGGCCCATGTCGATGACGTGTGAATAAAAGCTGACCTAGGTAGATGATGGACTCCCAGAACCATAACTGGAAAATTCATCTGAGAGGTGCTCGTGAGATTTATCGTCTACTCTTCCTCCCGAATAGTGACCGAGCCAAAGAGGCGCAGCGCCAAGCCGAAATGAATCACCCCCTCCGATGTTTTCTCGTTTCTCTCCTTTCTTACCTTGATGTCGCAGGCGCTTGTGCCACTAGCGAAGGGACTGTAGTCGAGGGCAGCTATTGGAGAACGCATGGTGGCGGCTGGGAATATAACCTGGGTATCCCAAGTTTGTCAGCGAATACATCTGCTGAGAATCCCCTTCTGGTGGAACTTCGCCTGTGTTGGTCTCAGATGATGGAGATTCAAGCCGCCATCAGTTCTTTTGGGAAGGCCAAAAGCGAGGGACAGATGCCTTCTGAGCAACAAGACTTGTTGTACCAGGTTCTGATGGGGCGCCTGGTTCAGTGGCGGCTCAATGCTCCCAAATGCATCCAAGAAATTGGCGAACTAGATGACGAGAGCTTGAAGCAATATCCCTACCCGCAAGTCTTGGAATATGCGGGCTGTATTGAATCGTACGAAAAGGCGACCGTTGTCTACTTGCACAAGGTCGCAGCAGCAGACCGCCCAGACCGTGTCCCCCAAAGAACCCTTCTAGAAATGCTTGCGTCGCGAATCTTAAATCTGATTGGGAAACTTGCTAAAGATGTTGGCCAACTGGCAGTTCTGTGGCCTTTATTTACCGCGGGACGCGAGACTCGTAATGTATGGGAGCAGAAATTCGTGCGGGAAACCATGATTAACCTACAACGGTTTGGATTCAAGGTACGGCACAATGATTCCCCAGTGCTAGTGACGTGAATACTAATCGTTTCTTCACAGAACGTTGAAAAGGGCCTCGAAGAACTAGAGAAGGCTTGGTTCAAGCAGCGCGCATTCCCTGAGGGGTGGATAGATAGGATGGAGGACGTTAGGTGTTCGATCCTCCTTCCATAATCTCGCGTAAAAGCACTCGATACGACTAACGAGGCTTTCATCCATCTGGTACAGCCTGTGTACCAGATACAGAAGACGATCGTATCGTTTGCTACCCACACAACCTCCCTCTCATGGTTGAGGGTGGCATTTTCGCAATCTTTGGTAATGCATTAGCGATGTTGGAAGTCTGTATTCAGATGAAGTGATAAGTCTGTCGTTAGGGTGCGGACAGCCACCCAGCAGGGCCGGAGCCGATAAGTCTGATTCGTCGAAATGCTAATAATGTTGGGAATATCCTGCGAGGCTAATCGCTACTGGATACCAACTATATAATTAATGACTTCATCTGAAAGTTACTGCCAAAGACCACTACTATTTTTCGCCTTAGTAAGATAAATAGTAACGTTAAATTTTAAATCTAAATCTGGATTCACGAGGGTTTATCTGTTCTTCGTGGCGATCATGGAATCTTCCAGGCTGAAGGCTGTTGACTGTCGTCCTGTGTGACCATCAGTCATAGCCACTCTCCGGTATACAATATCATGAGCAGATGTTTCTTTTCTCAAAAGTTGTTATATAGTCCCCGACTGAATTGGAAAGAGAAGTATATGACACGAGTATCGTTCTTCTCTCTAAAAATCTTTTTGACGTCTCGAAATAGTAGCTTCAATTTATTGAATGCTGCACGCGATGAATCAAAGCCATTAGCAAGTTCATTAGTATGCATTTACAAGCAATACCATCAGCCTACCGTTCAATGAGATGGACACCTGAAGCCGTGTCAACGATACCGCTGACCCGGCCGGGCTGTAGAGTAAACGCTGCGTCCTCGAACTCCCGCTGCACTTCCCCACGTCCGAAAAAGCCACCAATATAATGTTAATTCCACATGGTAACATGCTCACAAATGAGAAAGAAGGCACATACAGATCACCCCCATTTCTGGCGCTGCTACAGTCTGATTCTGACATCGCAAGATCTTCCAAGTTGACGTCGCCCGACTTGATGCGCATTTCATGGCCACGAAGGATTTCAATCGCCTCCTCTTTGGAACGAGTAATCTCTGCTTCTATCCAGCTTCTGGACCGTCTGCTTTCACTATGCTTGACAAGAAGGTGGCTACACCGGATTTTCCCTTCACCCTGACCTGTGCCATCAGGCCGACTGGTGGGCCCGCTATGGTAGTCGGTCATGTAAGCCTTGAGCTTCTCAGTATCAGTGCCTGATGGAGGCTCCCAGCGTGATTGCTTTGTCGCGAGGCTGAAATAGTAAGGGAGGTTTTTGGAGTTAGAATGGCGAACCTCCCATCCAGCGGGAAGACCTGTCTCAACCTAGGAAAAGGCCGATTTCAAATCAGTCTAAAGCTTGAATGATGGTTGACCGTTACATAAATATGTTATGAAGCATACCATGATGATTGTCGATAAGTGTCGTATGATACTATACACTTTATTAGAGGAGTGTTCTCAGCATACAGTATGCAGGATTGCAAAAAATAAGAAAAATAAATGCAACTAATAATTGCCTTTGCAGTTCCTGCCGGGACAGACTGCGGGGGGGGGGAAGACAAGCAAAGTCGTCTCAGGTCAGCAGACCCGCTCGCCCTTTGGCATGTTGGTCTGCTTCACCCAAACGATAATAAAGCAGCCTTCTTAAAAGAGATTCCAGCCGTACGCGAGAAAACCTTTAAATCACGTACAGTTAAAGATGCCTTCAAGACATGAAGTATCTATCCATTTGGTTCTGAAAAGGTTATCAGTGTTTTATAAAGCTAAAGGACCTATACCTGAGATTTAGACTTTTACTATATCACCACCGCCAACTAGTTCCTCACCCCCATCTACTATACGTGGCCTCACCGAAGTTTTGGAAAAGTGCAGGATTTTATTGATAATGGTCCAGTGCTTGACCAAAGCTTTGTACGACGTCCTAATCCTGTAATCTCTGATAGGGAAGTTGTCTTCCACAGAACTTAAAAGTATTCATTGACACTAGCATTAAAGAATTCTATAGTAAGAGAAGTTGTGCGCGGTATATTTAACCTCCTTGAACTATTCAATCACAATCCTGGGCTCAACATACTCGCCTAACGGCTCATATGTGATATCATATCCATAGCCCTTGGGTCCACCGACCTCAAGGTCCGTTTCCACCTTGGATAAATGTGGAGAGCAAGCCAAATCTAACACCACCACTTGGTAGCCATACCGATACTCCGACACACCGATCGGCTTGCCCACTTCCTTGTTGCTGGCAATGATCTTCTTCGAGCCATCGATGGCATGATGCTCGGCATAGATGCTATCATTCTTGAACGGGATGCGGATGTGCCCGCCTTGCGTAGCCGTAGGGGAGCAATTCTGGTTTGTGGCTAGGTCGTCATCCTCGGCGGGGACTTCGGTGATAATGATCTCGCCGTATGAATGGCCTTTGTTATAATGTTTGCTCGATTCCAGAGATCTTGCCTCGGAAGAGGACCTTGGCGGACTGGGGTCCTCTGACTTCAGCAATGATGGCTTCGGGGGCTGTGAGAAGTGTACTATATTGAGCAGCCTGGGCAATGGCTCTCCCAATTCTCCATGATAGTGGTACAGTATTCAACATGGCAATTCCCTTCCAGCCGCACCATTTTCGGGCGAGCTGATAAACCAACTAAGGAGCCCAGTTCAGTTAGCAGCACGGCGCACGCGGTCAACCATCTCCTAGCCGGAGTCAATTGCACGTGGGGTGAGTTCTCCAGGCCGATACACGGCCATTGTAGTCTGCCAGATCATGGGATTGCGCAACCCACAAAGTCCGCGTCAATCACGGGGCGCTCGTAGAATCGGCGTGAGCCACATTGAAAGACTTCGAGACATTTTATCGTCAATTTGGAGGCCCATCACGGTATCGAAGGAATTGTGACCCATGTAATGCATAAGCTGGTCAATGTAATTAACTATTCGTGGGCTGGGAGTTGCTCTACCATCATTGCTGGTTATCGCATGCGCCCTCCCCAGTAGACTAATGTCTCGTCCGGCAGGACGGACTGATCAATACAACGGATTTTGTACCCTCGATGGAGCATTTCCTGTAGTTGGATACGGCCTGCATCTGCGATATAATTCAGGTCGGTTTCTGTCCGAAGGCATTTGTGCCGGCCCGCCTTCTCGTTGAAGACAACCTTGGGACGGTAGGTCAGATGGTCGACTGGGATTACCTCGGGCACTTAAAAGTGTTCGGTGGTCCTGGGGCTCTCAACTATCGTACCCTCATCCACGGGGCCATCATCACTGCCAACAAACATGCTCATCGACCTCTCAGTATCCAAGCTCCTGATTGTCTTCACAACAGTTCCCAAATGATTGGAAATAAAGAGGCATGGACCCAACCTCCGTAATATAGAGACGCTATCCTCTACAGCGCCAGTTTGAATAGCTCGTTCAATAGCAGCCTTCTTAGTCTCTTCAACAGCGTCCTTGATGAACTGGCTCGCGATGCTTGTGGTCTTATCGACCGTTCCACCAACCTTGGCGCATGCGGCACCGACCGCGTTCGCTACATCAAAGAACAACGGCTTGATGAGGTTGGATGCACCCTCTAGTTCTCCAGGATCCAGGACAGCACCTCCAATAAGGAGTATTGGCAATGGCTCCGGCGAGGTTTTACTGAGGCAAATTGATCTGTGTCTGCGACGCAGAAACCAACTCAGGAGTTGCATGCCCAACGGACTCCTCATTACAGACGATACACTAATCACCGGCAACAGCAATATCAATTGCAGGTCAGAGTCTGCGCACCAAACACAAGACCTTCCATGAGCAGCCGATGCCCAACGGAGACTGGACCAGCAGTGACAGCCCATTGCTTGGCGCCGCTCTATCCATCACAGACAATGGATCCTCCACCCAGTCCGGCGGAATACAAATGAGGCATGAAATAGTTCCCTTTGATTCCCGCTGGTTTCACATAAGCAGACGCTTGGCGTAGGAGACTTGGAGGAAGCAGAACCCCAACATCAGCCGTGTTGCCACCGATATCAACGACAATGATGTATTTATTAGTCAGATCCTTTCCGGCAAGATATGCAGCGCCGCGCATGGAGTTGTAGCTCCAGAGTTAAACGTTCAGATATGTATTTTTGCTGCACTACTCGCGTCAGTGATGGTGCCGTCAGTTTGTGTGAGATACAGCGGACATTGCAAATGCAGGGACTTCACCGCATGACAGAAAGTGTCGGATTGTTTGGCGCGCGTAGCTCAAGATGGAGCCATTCCAGATAGCGGCAATTTCCTATTCCAGGAAACCTACACTGTTCTCGATAACATGACCCTTGCTGGCCCGAGCTGTGACGCTGCAGAATGTTCAACATACCTATATTCGCCATTTTCTTCGAACACACGACATCCGCTCCAAGAATTTCGCGGACTATAATATCCCGCACCGTTCCTCCTGTCAGAATGCCTCATCAATGGGCGAGCAAACGCCCACCACGACAACAGTCGTTAAACCCCGCGGCTTGATGTTGTCACGCCCTTGAATGACCTGCGGTTCGACTACCGGTGCCTCCTGAGACTCGTCAATATGAACGCCACCATCGATGTACCCGACATATCCATGAAATGAGATGGGCCAGCCCGGCTGATCACTTGGAAAATGGCTTCACATCGCGCAGGAACGATTCACACAGCCGGATAATCGCAACCTTGCTTAGATGGCGAGCGTCTTGATCCAACACAAATTTCAGGAAGGCAGCTGTGCCAATAGTGACGGAGGCCACATTTTCTGGTGCCACTTGAGAGTCTTAGAGGACAGTGTTAATAGCTTCTTGGGTACTAGTGGTGACGTCGGGGGCCGCTGAGGCCTTGTGAGATGAAAGAATGCCACGAGACGGCGTTACTCGCCGGCCAGGTCGATTAACCCCACGTCGGTGCTTGTTCCTATCTACCGGACGTGAGCGGATCCTGCAAGAATATACACGGCACTGTACGAAGCTGTTGTCTTACCACCGACATCCACGCCGCCACTCTACGAAAACTACCTAACACTGTGGCTTAAATCTCAAGTGATTGAGTAGATCACTAAGGCCCGACTTGCAGCCCCCACTCTCACAGTGTTGCCACCTATTATATTTTTACTCAGCTTACGACGCCGATTTTCTGCATTGGTCGCTCAACCTCGGTATCGCCGCAATTCTCCCCACCCCCCCGGAAGAAACATCGCCGAAGGTCAAGTCAATCGCACTAAAAATCCAACTCACATCGTCCACCATGGAACGATCACAGACAGTTTATTGATGGTGACCCTTCCCCATCACCGTAATGGTGTGGCCCTGCATCTCCGATCGCTCGCTGTACATCGAGTCATGCAATTTCTACCCATCCACTGCCGTAATACCCTTCGAGCGACTGAGATACCATAAGCCTGCGTGAAGTACGAACGACGTAAAGAATCCTGCGATGGGTCACAGGTAGAATGTATATGTCAAACCAATCGGGATCCCGGTGTTATGTGGGTTTAACGCAGCGAGGCCAGGAATACTGGGTGCAAATCCAACCAGCCAGGCCTCGAAGGCACGCCAATTGAAGCGGCCTTCGAACCAATAGCTGCTACTCGCATAGTGACTGCCGACGAACTGCACCACCACTTGCAAGTAGTCCGGATAACCCTGCGTGGCGTACAGGGAATGCGGGAGGAGAATGGGATGTACGGGATGAAATTTGCTGATGTAATATTTGACCAGACGTTCATTGTAATGGACGCGAGATGACGTGGTGGCCGTAGTGGGAAAACTGGTCAGCGGGGAGGTTGTCGAGGCTGGACCGGGAGCAAGGTTCACCGGCTGCGACACCTCCCCTGGTGTTGGCGTGTCCGCGAGCGAGAGAGGCGGCGCAGTATTCGGGGTGGCGGAGAGAAAAGAGGATCGCGGGGTCTGGATGGCAAAGGTTGATATATATTGAGAGACTGAGTCCGGCTTGGGCGGGTTTTTGGGCGGCCGTTGCCCACAGCGCGAGGGAATGTACCTGCAATTAAACCCGCGGACAAACACTGCGAGCACTGCGGATAGCCGGAATTGCATTTCAGACGTCTTTGTCTACATTGCGTACAAGCAACTTGGGCCCGTGCGGGATAGTGGACCGCAGATTTTGCTGGTTGAGCGGTTGAATCTGTCATGGTTTTGTGAGAAGCTGTGGGAACGTTCCGGTCGGGGAAGTGGAGGTCGGCCACTTTACCAAGGGAACTTAACATCTTTGCTCCTCAACCTAAAGTCTGACCACATGTCGGGGGATCCGATCCACCCCCGGCCCTCAGATCAAACCAAGCCATGGATGACTGAGAGGACTCTCCGTGCCGACAATTACAATTCATTAGATTCTACGACTATGGCGCCACATGCCAGATATCCATTCTCCTGAAGGATTTGCGTAATTAGAATGCGACAAGGTAGCATAATTTTGCTTCCTTTCCCATCCGACGGACACCAGGATGTGTTTTTCGAAAACATGTTCTTCGTAGCAATGCGAGATTCGATGATTTACCAATGAACTACCGTGCCAAGTGATCAAACAATGTGCGTGGAACGGTTCGATGGCGAAAACAGTGTTGAGGAATGCTAGTGTTGGCCGATTTAGTTCCACATTTTCACATGTATACTACGGGGCCTTGAGCATGAGCTAGGGAAAGGGAAGAAAGCTATCCATTCAAGGCCGTCTCTCCTACGGCGCACTACGAATATGGAACCTTAAGGTACCTGCCATGGGCCCGCGAGCCGAAGGTGAAGTCTCTCATCTGTTGGGTAAGATGGACGTACCCAAATAAGATACTTGTCAAACCGAGAATGCCCAGGCTGTGAGGCTCTAAGTGGCATGACAAGTTCTCCAAAAAAAAAGTTTCGAGACTTCTCGATGATTAACTAGTAGTATCGGAGAAGTAAGATACAAAGTCATGCCTGGCGCGGCAACCAGGTCCCACAAAGAAAGTGTTTGGATTGCCGATTTATTATCACTTTTGGAAAAAGGACAGAATCATGATCGATGAGGGTCCCAAGTGTTGTCACGCTGGTCACCCATCCGAGAAAGACTGAAATAGCCAGCGTCTTCAAGGCGCAGTCGGAATTCGCGAAATTTGCGCGCTGATGCCTTTCTGCTGAACAGAATATCGAGCTCCAAGAATGTGAGTCCTTTCGGCTCGGGAAGGCGGAAGAAGGCCCAGACAAAACAACAAATGGTGGTGCCGGCGAATAAGAAGGAACTCCTGCCTCCCCAGTGCCAGGCGGTGGGGTTCAGCATGCGCGTTGTGACGACGTTAACAACAAGGCTGGATATGCTATATGCAATCCGAGCAAGGACAACAGTCTTGATCCTCAGGTGAGAGGATGGGGTTTCGACAACTAATACGTAGCAGGTAGGGCCAATCGTCGTGTCATAAATAAACGTGAGCAGGATGATTAGTGAACCGAGGGCCCAAGATGTCGACTGGTCTTCCACCATTGTACCCACTCCGCCAGTAATCATCAGCACGATGAACAGGAGAAGTAGTCCGTATAGATAGATAGTGCGTCTACCAAGTATGCGCAGCCAAACCCAGGAGAGCATTCCTCCGATTATTGCCGCACCGAATACCCCTATTCCAACAGTAACGGAGTTGACGATAGACAAACCTGCCTGCTCGTAGAAATACACAGCGTACCCCGTCAAGGCCGAACCGCAGAGTGACTGCGTTATCCAGGTCATACAGGCAATCTCGGTACGACGCAAGTCAGACCCTTTGAAGCAGTCAAGAGACTCCGCCACCACTGAGGTGACTTTCGGCCTCATACGTGTGGCGTAACATAGCCAATATGTTCCGGACGCGGACATTATCGTCACGTTCGACCGAAACGAGCCGGAGAAGGGCATTTTCCGCTTGCATGCTTCTTCCATGGCGCACAAGCCACCCTGTCACTACATCAGTATGAAGATGTCCCCATCCCCCAGAGTCCTGCTTACAGGGACTTTCAGGTGCAAATATCATCCCTGCCAGTATCGGAACCACGAATACCCACTGCAGAGCCAACGGGATCCGATAAGACCATGGGGATTGCTCATTGATTAATATCCGCATCACACTAGCACCCAAAAGCTGACCGAAAAGCCAACAGTTGTTAATGTTAGATGTGAGATATGCTCGTAAGGTAACTGGCATGACTTCAGCCGCATAAGTTACGCTTAATGTCTGGATAGCCCTACTGCGAATTAGCACTGCGGTATCAAATGGTTACGAAGGAATTGATTCCACTAACCCCCACGGCAACCCACAGAGAAAGTAGCCAGCCACTAGCATCCAAATATTGGTCGCCAGAAATGTCAACAGCGACAATAACGATAAGACGATTAGGCATCCAATCATAACGAGTTTATAGCCAAATCTATCTGCCAGGGGACCGTTAAATGCTAGACCTAAAATCTCACCGGCATAAGCTGCGTTAATAAGTCCGGCCTGCCACGCAGCCGAGATCTCATAGCCTTGTCGACCCGACAGTGTACCAAAAGACCGCCTGAAGACCGGAAAAGCAAGGAACCCGTTGATCAAGATGATTCCATAAGCTTCGAGGACGATCGCCATTGACAGTAGTCCAGACCACGCAATGGCTTTGGGGTAGAGACGGCATCCCTTGCAGAATGTCATTTCATGTTCACCGGTGACAGCGACACGTGCGTCCTCGGAAAGAGGCAATAGGTTCGGAAGAATAGAGGTGTTGGAACCAAAGCCGTCTTCCTGAATATGAGAACCTCCGCATGGTGACCCGGTAAGTTCGATAGGCGCGATATTCATGCTGATGCTCTATTGGTTTTTCGTGTTGGTCTCTTCTGCTGTTTCATACTTGGTGATGCCGAGAGATCAGTGCGTCCCAGGCGGCTCGAAATTGAGACGCCCTCATTCAAAAGTGTACGATCCGGCGGAGGACTCAGGTCACTCAACGCCTTCCCAAAAGGGTCGACTGACGTCACTATACCCGTGAATTAGTCTCGTTTTCTGTAAATGGGTGCTAATTTTCCATCTCTCCAAACTGCTGTGAAAAGCTTAAACGGTTGTTCATTAGGTCCTACCGCATCTGCCCCTGGTACAGTCGTTAATCAATCTCTCGAATATTACTAACGCAGTCAAACACCGACTGACGAGGTTTAGCAGCGCACATCAACTATTCGGAACCGTCTTGAGCACGAACATCGTCGATTTTGGTAAGCTAAATATCCGAATATAGAGTGTTGTCAAACTGCGCGTGTCTGAATTACTGCGTATAATACCACTTAATCTGGACGGATGCAAGGACTTGACTTCATCTAAATCTATCAAAAATGATGGCCATATTTATGATGAATCTTGACCGCTATTTCAGAGCTTCGGAGGTTGAAACCCATGTCGCCAAGCGTGGTGTAGGGCTTTTAGCTTTACATAATTTTGTATAGGTGGTGAAGCCATGGCAGGCAATACGAGACGCCCTGGTTTGCAAGTGACTTATTAGAGCAAATGAGCACTGTACGATGATTTATCTTACAACAATTGCAGCGACGGGAACTCATGATAGATCATTTCATCGGGCTGCTCATTACGCTAGGTATTAAGCACCCGAACATAATTCTCGTGCTTTACAAACCCCAACCACCAATAGCTTTTGCACGGAATTGTTCAACTAGACTAGAATACGCCACCCACCCCCAAAAATATAAGCGACACTAGTACGTATGTTTAACATAACCAAAAAAGGCTGCAGCTTTCCAGCCCTTCGCTGGAGTGGCGGGCCTGTGTTACATCAAATCTCCTTTATGGCCATTGGCCCCATGTCACAAAAGCTTGCCTCGTTAATGTCTACTACGTTGAGGAGCAGGTGTTTGACAACCGTGGAGGGCCCTTGTGCAACCCAAGACTGTGGGGTTCGATCCTCGCACCCCTTTCCAGGTCTTCAGACCTCAGTAATATCTGCCCCATCGTACATGTACGTGGATAAGTTCGAAAGAGAAGCAACAGCATTTTTTCTGCCACTTGTTAAAGAAGCAAGGAGAGGGTACTTATATCTCTCCTTTGGCACATAACTTCGCGGCTGCTCTAGTCTTATAGGGACGAGCTCAGAGTGTCCAGGGGAGATGGTTGGGTAATTGTGGCATATTGGATGTGTCCTTGAGCAGACTAGTAGTCAGTTACTATACAGCAAACCAGAAGATTACCTCTACTCGCACGACGCAAATATGAATGTGCTCGATTGCAGTAAATCAGTCAAAGAATTCACAGAATGACGGATAATGATGATCTTCGAAACGCAGACCGGACGTTCGACCCCCACCCAAATCGCCTCCCACAAGGTTCACATCGAGTATATGACGCTCCCAGGAATATCTTAGAAACGTCCAATGAGAAAGGCCAATCCTCACAGGTGAGTATGGGATGTCGATAATAATGCTGGAATACGAAGTCGCCATAACACAAAAAGGTACTTCTCCGTAAGAGTGTTTCGGTCAGCGTCAATTTAGTCTAGCACTCATATGAGCAATCAGAGAGCACGTGCCTGAGGAAAGAGGGACTGCCCACCTGTGGCAGGATGCCTCTTTGCTGTTACCCCGAGCTATGTCCACGACGCATCTAGGCCGCCGATAATTCCCCGAGACGGTGGGGACCTCGCCGCAACCATTTGTACACTGCCTCCCAATCCGATATCTCACTACGTGATATCCCTGGTAAATGCTTGCTGAAGTTCCCTATCTCATCAATTGGCTATAGTGAGCTCTATGCTGTAGACATGCTGTAGATGCCACATATTTACCTTGGAGTTGAGTCACCCCACCTTGCAGTACGCAGCCACTTGTCACATCCACGTTATATCAGATGGCTGACTTGCCTTTCCGCACACCATAAGGGTGTGTGAATGCTGTTTTATGTTGGGGAGCTAAGAACCCAAACCTGTTGATAGACCGTCTACTCTAGGTCAGATAACAGATAAACAGTAGGATTATGGGGCAGACAGGGATGCACTGCCGTCGGTATGCTGGATGAGAATGTCTCCACGGTAGCGTTTGGAGTGGGCATAGCCTGCCATAACTGTCAATCAACGAAGCCACTGATATTTCGGTAGACCCGTTTGTCTAAGCATGTCCAGTATACATAACCAATCCTACTCTGTGGTGGAAGATATCGATCTCGGGGAGGTACAACTGTTGTGAAATCCATCGCTCAGGGTACACTACACGGAATTTACAGATTGACTATCGATCCCTCTTCTTTGAGCTTTTCTTATTTCTTTACTCTCCGGTTGATGTAGTTAGTGGGGGGTGTTTCCCAGCCTCGCATGAAAGGTGAATTCAACCAGGCAAGATCCGGAGTCTTAGGCTGTCAAAATGCCCACACCACAGCAGGAATTTCTCCATCGAATTCCTTCTCCGCCAGTAGCGAACCAATGGTATCAGTCACCTCGCTCCACTTGACTACCGATATCTTGTGGCTGTTCTGTTGTGCTATCGCCACCATCCCTTCTTCCGTATTAATATCAAACTGGCGTGGGAAAGACCCGAAAGACGGATATAATCCAACGAAGGAGGTGGCGGAGGTTTGTGCCTGATTGTTGAGGGAGAAGATCGCTATGGAATCATTCCCGGTCCCAAAAATGTTATCGTTACGGTTCGATATCACGACACGATCATTACCCGGCTATAGGGGAAAAGGGATGTTAGCGGGTCTGGGATATTGAGGGTGATGAGCAAAATTGATAGACTTACTGAGATGGCAATCTCTGCGGCCTTCGAGCCAGCTGGAGGGGTTGATCCGCCGTACGTGCTTCCTTCATAGAATTTCGAGAATAGGATTGTGCCATTATTTGAGTATGTCACGTCGTACCCCCTCAAGGAATTGTCAAGCTCCGTCACCAGATAGAATCGCACATTCTTTGGTTGAATCCGGCCTTCCTTTCTAGAAATCCAGAAGACAGCATGTCGTGGGCCGGAGCCTGGAGCCACAACCAGTGGCTGGTTCTCCTCTAGATGGCCTGTGGTTGGGCATATGCGGAAGATGCGGACAAGGTCAGCTCCTAGGTCCGGAACAAGGATAAACTGCCCGGATGGGTCGACCACCACTCCATGGGGATGTGGCGCGTCTTGTCGCTCCGGGACTGGCCCTGGGGCGGGCATGGTGAATGTGAAAGATTGAGTGCGGTTGAAGTGACCGCTGGCAGGGTCAACAGAGTAAGTCGTGACTGCAGACCCTGAGCTAAACGACGAATATTAATAACATGATCGACGAGTGACAAAACCTTCGGCAAAGGAACTTGCTGGAAAGCAAGGAAAGGCAGAGGTTACTTACTAGTGTGCGACGGCAAAGAATCTCTGGTCTGGTTGTTGGACTGGTGTATAAAATGCAGACGCAACAGGGCCCATCAAAGTTTGGAGTTTCTTAACCTTTCTGAACGAGCCATCCGCGTTGAGCTTGAAGGAGGACAGGGTGGAATTAGGGCGATCAATGCCTTCATCCAAACAATACAAAAAATCATTCTCCCTATCCAGCATCAACCACGAAGGGCTCGTGCCGCAGTCGGTTGTCTCAGAGAGCGTCGTCAATTGATGGCTTTCGCCAGACCCTGCCAGGTTAAGCGATGTCACTTTGCCCGCATATGACGCTGCGTAGAGTCGCGATGCCATGACACTGCTCCTGAACAGGAGAGCAGCTACCTGCCAAAACTTCATTGCAGTGGCCTCACTTGTGCGCGGTTATGCCGATTGTCCAAGCCACCGACGAAGGATACCGGTCCATCCAGGAAATGCCGCCTGACGGGTTAAGTGAATTAAATAGCTGACGGTCATGTTGTCATGCACAGCAGGGGAACAAAAAAAGTCCGCACCTTTGGTGCAGCGGAAATTATTGGGGCGACGCTCCGATCCTCACAACTCTAATGGACAGTAGATTAAATGGGGCCGACTGGCTTTTAGATTCGACTGGTACGAGACTATGCAGGATAGAGATCATGGTGGATCCAAGAGTTGAACAAATACATAGATGAGACATAATCGTTATCTATTCCGTGGCACTATCTTAAAATGCAGTGAAATATTGTTTCTTTGGTGTACTCTATAGGTCAAAATATGCTGGCTGCAAATACGGCCGAACTCATAAAATATCTCCGGATTCGGTATACGCCGAATAATGGTCCAACCGATACGTTCTGATGCACTAATTGCTTGCACTCGGGGTCGAGTTACTCACGTTAAAATCTGCCAGAGATTTGATGGACCAGCTACCAGAAACAGAGGCTACTGTGACGTAGTGTGGACCACAACTTGGGTCACATTATAGGCTTCAGCTGTGAATACGAGAGCTAATATACTCGCGGATACAAGATTAGCCCAAAGACCAACGTATCAATCAACTCCCTACGTCCACGTTGGGAGGCCCAGGAGGTACTCGTTTCTGGTGGCTCACTAGATACGGTGAATGAGGTTATAGGTCCTCGGGACGCCTAGAGTGGGGGGCTTCTCGGCATGCCGAGAATAGATGTTCATATCTGTGGATCATCCGAAAAATTCGGAGTGTAGAGAGACGAGCCAGATCTTGGCGAGCGGTTGTGTCTGTTCCGACACTTGCACTAGCCGTTTCTTTGCCATATTGACGAGGAGCTGATCCGAATTTCTCAGCAACTTAGTTCGGAGCTCTTGATTAAGATCTACATGGAGAGAGTTCTGCGGACTCCAATCGGAACGGATCGTATGACGGTAAAAAGAGAGCGTTTCAAACGACGGTAGGGAGGGGTCATCTAGGAGCTGGTCTTTCAGCATTGACTAGTAGTGGTGTGCCTCACGGTTCTCATTTCCGCAACTGTTATTAGGTCGGATGTGGACTTGCCATTTCCCTGCCGCATACAATGTAGTCCGTACCCCAGCCAACATGGCAATTAAGACAATCCAACACAGTCAGCATCCCGTACTGTGAGACCACCCGTTAGGACATCGTGTTGGAGATCTGTGCCTTGCAGAAATCTCGCCCTTGGCTTCCGTAGACAACAAGACGGTCCCCATGTGCCAGTCAAATGCCAGTCAAACGTAACCTTTCATGACACCTATGCCGAGCATCAAGCCTAGTCAGCTTCACCGGATACCGGATACAATTAGCAATAGTTAAGAGCTAGCTCAAGTGTGTTGGAGATTCTTCGATACTCGGATCTAGAATGTCGATTGTCTCTCGCTTATAACGCTTTATTATGAACGTGCTCTTGATATTCGAGCAGAACACGAGCTCGTCCTTGACAACGCCCGTTCCAGACCCGGGGAAGGTAATCTTGACGCATCGGCACAAGGATAGATGGGGCACGTAAACACGAGGGCTAGAAAGCTTACAGTGTGTTTCGGTCCGGGGTCTACGAAGGCTCTGCGCCAGTCCGCATGTTGGTCTTGTCATTCTGGATGCCAAACAAGCTTGCAAGCAGCTAATAGCACTCACAGCTGTGGTCGTTTTCACCAATACGACAACCTTTTTGAGTTCCATGTATGAAGACAGGCCCATAACACGTGCGCTACTACGGCCAGGACCAGAACTAGATCTGAAAGTGGAGTAGTATCACTGTAAATGTAGGTAGGATCTAAAATCCATGCTATAAATTGTCCCTCCCTCACTCCTGGAGATTGGTCCGGGTGGTAGCTTATCACACTTCAATTATTTCTCATTGCCTTTCGTTCTTTCCATTTCCTTACCCGCCTTCCCACCTCCTTAAGACTGCCATCGCGATGAGATACATTGGTTACTTTCTTTTGCCTCTGGCAACGGTCAGCGCTTACCTGGTGTCCGAGCAGGTTGACGTTCAAGCCAGTCTGCTCACTGACCCAGAAGAAGTCGCCGACAAGAAGTTCGATTACATTATCGCCGGTGGTGGTTTGACTGGTCTAACTGTGGCCGCCAAACTCACAGAGAACCCTAACATTGAGGTCCTGGTTGTTGAAAAGGGCTTTTACGAGTCCAACGACGGGCCGATTACCGAGGACCCAAACGCGTACGGTCAAATTTTCGGCACCACTGTGGACCAGAACTACCTCACTGTCCCCCTTATCAACAACCGTACCGACAATATCAAGTCTGGAAAGGGCCTTGGAGGATCTACGTTAATCAACGGTGATTCATGGACCCGCCCTGATAAGGTCCAGATCGATTCGTGGGAGAAGGTTTTCGGCAACGAGGGGTGGAACTGGGACAACGTATTCAAATACATGAACCAGGCTGAACGTGCCCGTGCTCCGAATGCTGCCCAGATCGCCGCCGGCCATCACTTTGACCCTGCTTGTCACGGATTCAATGGCACCGTTCACGCTGGACCCCGTGACAACGGCCAGCCTTGGTCTCCCCTGATGAAAGCGCTTATGAACACTACTTCTGCCTTTGGCGTCCCAACTCAGGTGGATTTCCACTGTGGGCACCCTCGCGGTGTTTCCATGATTCCTAATAACCTGTTGGAGGATCAGGTGCGCGCCGATGCAGCCCGCGAATGGCTCCTTCCCAACTATCGCCGGAAAAACCTAAAGGTCTTGACCGGGCAGGCTGTGGGAAAGGTCATCTTTGATCAGGATGCCCCCGGCCTGAAGGCAATTGGAGTGAACTTTGGCAGGAACAAGGCCGTTAACTTCAATGCCTACGCCAGTCATGAGGTTTTGTTGGCAGCCGGCTCTGCGATCTCGCCTTTGATCTTGGAGTACTCCGGTATTGGCCTGAAATCCGTCCTTGACAAGGCTAACGTTCCCCAGCTTCTGGAATTGCCTGTCGGTATCAATATGCAGGATCAGACTACAACTACCGTCCGCGCGCGTAGTACTCCCGCTGGTTTTGGCCAGGGCCAAGCTGTCTACTTCGCCAATTTCACCGAGACTTTCGGTGAAGACGCCCCGTACGCCGCTGAGTTACTCAACACCAAGCTTGGTCAATGGGCCGAGGAAACTGTCGCACGGGGTGGCTTTCACAATGTCACCGCACTCAAAGTCCAGTATGAAAACTACCGTGACTGGCTGCTTTATGAGGACGTGGCTTTTGCCGAGTTGTTCCTGGACACATCGGGACAGATTAATTTCGACCTGTGGGACCTCATTCCATTCACTCGCGGTTCTACCCACATTCTCAGCAGCGATCCTTATCTCTGGCAATTTGCCAATGATCCCAAGTTCTTCTTCAATGAACTAGACCTTCTTGGTCAGGCTGCCGCGTCCAAACTCGCCCGCCAGCTGCAGAACAGTGGAGCCATGGCGGACTATTTCGACGGCGAGGTCATCCCGGGCGCTAAACTCCCCTATGAGGCTACTCTGGAGGAATGGGCTGAATACGTCAAGGATAACTTCCGTGCTAACTGGCACGCCGTGAGTACCTGCTCCATGATGTCGAGGGAGCTTGGTGGTGTTGTTGACCCAACAGCTAAGGTCTATGACACCCAGGGCCTCCGCGTTATTGACGGCTCTATCCCTCCTACTCAGGTGTCCTCTCACGTTATGACAATATTTTACGGAATGGCTCTGCGCATTGCCGAATCCATCTTGGAGGACTATGCGAGGGCATAAACGGGGCTCGGGTCTCAATGCATATGAAACGCCTTGATTGATAATTGCGCTCGGACTTGCTGTGAGAACCCCGTCGTCTCTGCTCATGCCTTTGTAAATGGCCTATCGTGAACTTCTAAAATCGGGTAACTATTTTTCCGCTAGGTGATAGAGGCTATTCAGCGGCATCGGCCAGTGTTTTATATCGTTCCTCATTCTGGGGTTTAGTGGACAGCTAGCCCGTTGCATTGGGATTTAGACAAGGTTAACTTGCCAGATATAAGAAATTAGAATTCCAAATGCGTTTGATCTAGTACTATACCTTACGCTGTCAGCGACCTTCGACTTATATACAATACGATACTTAGCAGAATTCATTTAGCGAGCATTCCCTGGCCTTGGACTCCGACGTAATTAACAGATGTGATGAAATTCAACGCTATCTATGAGGGCGGGATAGCCAAGCACCGCATGATCACAACTGCGAATGTGACCCTCAGATGGAGGACCCAGTCTATAAAGCATTGATGTGCTCTGTTTCCGCAGGTTTGATATCTACTTGAGGAATACAATTCAATACATAACCTAACCCAGCCGGATATGATCGCCAAAACGAGGGAGCCGACATCAGCCTAGAGGGCCAAGGAAACCACCACCTAGCGGTACTCGCTGTACGAGAGAAACCACAAGCAATCGGGCGGGTAACAACCAGCATCTCACGCCCTTACGATATACCCTTACGCTACGGGTCGTAAACCGGCCACTGTTGGGTCATAGCTGTGGCCCTTAGCTTTGAACGCAGAAGCTAATTTCATTTGTGGATCGGACACGAGGTGAAAAGCGACACTACCAATCGACGGTTTGGGCCCGCGTTGTGAGTCGCCAAAGGTACTTATGTTATTGTTTCCGGTTGCTTAGTAGATACCAGGTGGCATGTGGAGAATTGACTTTCACGAAGCGTAAACAGTGGGTCGTCGTCTCGACCCTCGTATTGGCCGTTTCGGCGAAATATTGATGGAAAGCTGATCTACATTTCTCAGCAGCTCTGTCTGGATCTCTGACAATTGATATCTACAATGGAAGAGGCCCGCTAACTGTGAAAGGAATGGGCTGTGTGGGAATGTGTAGCGAGCCCGGCTGCCTACCTATAACCCCCATGGGTACACGTGGTGGTCTAAACAACCTGTGCAGACCCGCGTGTATCACCTCAGCTTCCCCCTGACTCTCATTGTTCGTACACCCCACCCAAGAGGAAAGCCTTCTCTGGAGCCATCCATATTCTGCCCTCAATCAGGGTTATTGAACCAAACGCTGAGCAGGACCTATCTATCAGCCGGTCGTTGATATTACGGGACTAACGCCGAGAATAGGTCCGATTCATGACATGAGACTTGTAGGAGAAGCGAGTAGAAGGATACTATTATCATCGAGTTTAGTTGTCCCATTTGATGATCAGTAGTATAAACACAGGACCAACCACAGAGGCAGTCAGGGCACCAGCACTGGGTTCTATTCCATTTATATACCACCTTGCGCTAAGGGGCTTGGGCCCCGAATCTCCACTGGGAGTATTGTTGGCCTCTTGTCTTGTCCATGTCGCGAATACCTCTTGCACAACTGATAGATCTCAGTCTCGGTTCCAGTCTCGAGAGGTTGTTAAAGCCTATTTTATCGCAACGTTAGTAACCATACCCATACGCCAAAAGGCTGCTGCCCCACACGGGACCTGGCGTGCGGTGGGCTAGGCTACCTCGTAGCCAGCGAGGTCAACATCGGTTTTCGGTACAACTTAAGAGATGGCGCTGCTGGGTCAGCCATGAAGAAGGACCGGCATCATGTGCTCGCAAAATGCTCCCTCAGACTTACAGACTCAATATCGGCCGGTGCGTGGATTCTGGTGGGTCCTATCAAATAGTAAGTCGACGCTTCCAGAGCAAAAATCTGTTTGTCCCAGATCCGGAACTACAATAAATTTTGCCACAAGCCTGGCGCATCTATAGTTGTGCGCCACGAAGTTAATCCAAAGAATCAGATTGGACTCTTCATTGGAGTGGTGCTGACGGGTCACGGGGACAACCAGAACGGGCCGGACCCACTTTGGCCCCGCCAGAATTTAGTCCTATCGTCATTTCTGTTAGATCATTGTCTCATGCCTTCTCAGAGTTCTCGACTGAACTGCTGAGGAATACAGTCGAGGTCTCGGTTCAAGCGTTTCGATGGTGGGGCGAATACGAGGCCAAACGCTCACTCAGCCGCGCCTGATTGCGGTTTCTGGCGTGGCAACGGGGAAGCCGAGTCCGGGCCCGAAGCGCACTCGGATATCCACGCTGAGCAATTCCAGTAAATGTCATTCATAGTCCTACGTTCCCTATGGCTTATCCTGTGGTTCTGATACTGATTACTCTACAGTGCAAAATATGAGGGAGCAACAAATCGCCCGTCACCCTCTGCCGCCCTGTGGATTTGGGCACACAGAACTTTCGGTCTGGCAGGCAATAGGCCGATCTCTAAGCAGCTCAACGACATTGTACCTCAATTCTCGATCGTTAATCCAAAGACCCAAATTGTGCCTGTATATTCCCATTGGAATATCGGACACATCCTGCAGCGGAGCGCTCTGTTTGATCGTGGGTAAGATTCTCGTCTGTGGACAGAGGATGTTTCTCCTAATCGTGCCTAGGTTTCAGATTTCTTTGCGACTGATGGTTACCGTAGAGTATCCTTTGCATAGGGTCTGGTATTGACAGATATGAGGGACATTTGGTGGGAGCAACAGTTTCAATATTCAACTAAGCTGCAATTTAAAACACAAAATATCAGTCCAGCATTTAGATATAACCAAAATCCATGCCGCCAGCATGTGCAAAACAGAAGTCAGCACATATAACCCAGTCGCAGTGTTTCAGTCACGAAATGGTCAATTGAAGCGGTTGGAACTACCTGGGTCGAAACCTTACCGCTTCAGATAGTACCGAAAGTGTAAGTGGCGTAGTTAATGGCTGGAAGGCTCCCGGGAGAGTAGACCACGTCCTGGCCCCACTCAGGATGTTGATAGAATCAATCCAGCCTTCCGGCTCAATCGCAAGAGAGCCATATTTCTTAACAAACTCGGCGGCCTCTTTGTCTTTCTGGTTACGCTCCTCCTGAGAGGGCTTGACAGGAATTGTTCCATCCATGTTCAGACACGTAAAGACCTGTACTGAGGGCTGATTCGTCGCAACCTCCATGCTGATCCCTGTATTGCTGGAGTCCAATCGAAGTGCCGGAACCAAGCTATCATCGGCAGCGGCATAGAGGGATCGTGGTCAATGATGAAGCAGTGGTCGTAGCCGATGCAACCAGGTCTGCACAACCCTTCAGTATACTGTATGTCTTGGCCGATGGTTTTACCAACAGTAAAGTCCATGCTGCTATGGTCGCTATCCTCAACGGTGGCGATAACGCCGGTGGGAATTTGATTGCTGTCTGTTTCGATAAACCTCCTAGATAGCGGAAGCTGAAGCCAGGTATCGTCAAGAATAGTGGGCTGCTTGAACGCATTCAAATTCCAGTAGATGTGGTTTGAAGGCATGATGGGAGTAGATTCAGTGAGCGCTAGAGAAACCAGCTCCGTCACCAGCCTGGGCGATCCCTGCGGGTTATCCGTAGTACGCTTGGAGTCGACGGTGTACGTCGCGTGAGTGACAATGTCACCTGGAAAGCCTTCTGCCGTATTGTCGTAAAGAGCAAACGTCACGGAAGAAGACGTGTGAGCCGTCACAGTCCAGTTTCTCTGATCGTAGCCAGCGTTTCCGCCATGCAGGGTGTACAGGCCATCGTGATTCTTAGGGATGTTGTATTCAGTTCCGCCCAGGGTGAATGACCCGTTCTTCATGCGATTGGCAATACGGCCAATGACAGCTCCAAAGTAGGTATGGCTGGTTTTGGTATCGTTGAGATACTGGATTGGGTCCTCATAGCCGACAACAACATCCTGCGGGGTGCCCTCCTTGTCGGGTACATGTAGAGAAATCAGGCGAGCGCCGTACGGGATGAATTTGGCCGTAATGTTGTCTACCATAATCGTAAAGACTTCGAATGTATCCGCCACCGGGCGCGGTTCTAGGGTATGCTCGCCCAGAACCACCATCGACGCCCATAGAAGGGCTGCCATAGACTGCTTGAGATTCATGATGACCTCAGTCCCCACAGGCAGTCAATTTCCGATGTTTTTAGGGAAACAGGCGTGAGAAAGGCCCTGCAGCTCTCCATTGGCAGCTTTTTGCATAAAGGGTGCGCGAATATTTGAGGGAGACACAGTGTGAGATGACAGACTAGGTCCGTGTTCTGAATTTTGTTCTCGAAACGAAGTGAACCCAGCCACCATTCACTGGTAGGAGTGGCGGAATGGACATTTCTATTGGTGGTCTGCCCTTGGGAAAACACGTTGCCTCTGCGGACCATCTAAACACAGGCTGGAAGGGTCTTTCTGAATAATGGGTTATTGTGGTCACTACTACAAACTTAACTAGTCAGTGGGCCGTGGTGCCAGTTCCAGATGACGGGATCACCAAGCTACCCGGGAGTAGCTTACCTAGACACTCTGTATACCACTGGATGGAATGCGGCACGCTATTGCCACTCACATGAACGAAACGCCCTTCCTTTGAACATTGCAGGATTTTCTTTCTGCCTTTTCGGTTGGGTTCCTTGACTGATCGTTGGTGGGAAATTAGCGACATCGGTCTAATATTAACTTTGTATTAATTCCTGGACTAGAAACGGAATTGTGAGTACACCGGTCGAGCCCGGTCCTACGTGGGTATGAGGTATTCGAGAGGATAAGTTTGCCGAGCAAACGGTATTCCAATAAATGCAATGGTTGATGGTACCCTCATCTACAAGAAGCGGGAATGACAGAAAGTCCGCCCCGGCTTACTGAACGGGCTTACAATGTGAAACGAGCGATCGGGACCGAGCGAAGTTAACTGTTGGATGTTAACCAGTGTAAACCTTGCCGGCGTCTGTCCTGATGCCGAGTATACTATTGGCTAACCTTAAGTGGACACAGCACTCCATAAAGTTATCTGCGGATCTCCGCTGCACCCAGAACCTTAGCAGCAAATTTCGGAGAATCTTCACAGCGTTGGGTGATCATCCGTATCCCGCAACCCATGACATCCTCCCAAGGTTCGAAAGTTACAAAGGAGGATACCTTAACCAGGGACTCCACTTAATGCCTACCCAACCACCATACCTTACATCCCCATTTAACTCGAGAGGGACCGATATTACTCCGTGCGATGGAGCTAGAGCATGAAGTACGCAGTAAGCACTGCAAGCCACTCCAGCAGTAAATGCGGCTTGCGAAACAACTTGCAATGGTATATCTTGGCGTTGCGCAGATGCGGTGAATGTTGATCTCTGGCTTGGAATACGCTGAGTTGGTGTGTTTACTTGGGCATTATATATTCACCAACACTTCTCTTCATGGCAACAGTTTAGCTTCTCGAAGATATAGAGCAATTTAACTTACCTGAAAACCCACCATCTTCTCTTGCTTTCTCAATTCTTGCTTCTTACTCCCGCTCTCGCATCGGTATCAAACCATGGGTCCTTCACTCAACTGGAAGGAGACCTTGGGCCTGCTGTCTGTGTGTTGGCTTATGGTTCAAGCCCAGGCACAACCCACCCCAGCGGTCTCATCTTCCTTCGCCCCTCAGTACACACTTCCTGTATCGGCAAACGAAGCTCCCCCCGTGCTCCCCAATATCAGGGACCCATTAGCTGTTGATGCACAGACAGTCTGCCCCGGTTACGTAGCTTCTAGCGTTCAGCAGACACCGACCGGACTGACAGCCTTACTTTCGCTTGCCGGCCATGGGTGCAATGTTTACGGTACAGATATCGACTCCCTGAATCTCACGGTCGAATATCAGACAACAGATCGGTTGCACGTTGAGATCGTTCCAACATACATTGGCACAGGGAACGCAACTCAGTATATCATACCCCCAGGTGTGGTGGCAAAACCTGGAGTAGAAGGGTCCAATGCCGAGTCCGATTTGGAATTTTCCTGGACTAATGAGCCTAGTTTTGGATTCGAGGTGGCAAGAAGGTCGACAAAGGACGTTCTTTTCTCTACCAAGGGGAAGAAACTAGTCTTTGAAGACCAATTTATTGAGTTTACAAGTCCGCTCCCGGAGAACTATAATATATATGGACTGGGCGAGTCTGTCCATGCATTCAGGCTGGGCAACAATTACACGAAGACCTTCTACGCAGCCGATGCTGGCGCCACGGTCGATATGTATGTGGTTACTTTACCCCATCGTCTTTCTTCGCATGGTCTCTCTTCCTACAATATATCCACTAACGATATATGAAGCAATGTCTACGGCACACATCCTTTCTATCTGGAGACCCGTTACTTTACCCAGTCTCCTTCTGGTGATCTCACATTGGTGACAACCAATGAGGTCGAACCGAACAAGACCTACACCTCTTTCTCGCATGGAGTCTACTCTCGGAATGCGCATGGGCAAGATATCGTCCTGCAACCAGACGGTATCACCTGGCGGGCCATTGGTGGCAGCATTGATCTGTACTTCTTTTCAGGGCCAACGCAACCAGAGGTGACCACGTCATACTTGAAAGCTGTAGGCCTGCCTGCGTTGCAGCAATATTGGACCTTTGGCTTTCACCAATGCCGGTGGGGATACAAGAGCTGGGATGACCTTGAGGATGTTGTGAATAGTCACATCAATTTTGGAATCCCGCTCGAAACGGTCTGGTAGGTGACATTCTTCCTTCTCTTTCCTTTTTTTTTTTTTTTTTTTTAATCTGTTTGCGGGGGAGGGTATGGTTTCTTTTACTTTCTTTCCTTGTTTACTCACAAACGAGTGTGGCCCGCCCGACTGACAAAACTCAAGGACTGATATCGATTGGATGCTACGGTACCGGGACTTTGAAAATGAGCCAGTCGGGTTTGATTACGAGGCAGGCAACAGGTTCCTTGAGCGTCTCCATGATGGTGGCAGACACTATGTTCCCATCTTTGATTCTGCCATTTATATTCCCAACCCCGATGTTGAGAGTGATGCGTAAGTCAGGTTTCCATCCATCGATGTCAATGTGCTTACTTCTTCCCAGATATCCGACGTTTGAGAGAGGAAACAAGACTGGATCCTTCCTGACGAATCCGGATGGTAGCCTGTATATTGGTTCGGTCTGGCCTGGGTACACTGTCTTTCCTGACTGGTTATCTGAAGGCGCTGAGCAATGGTGGATCGACGAAATGATCCTTTACCACCAGAAGACCGCATATGATGGTGCATGGGTTGATATGAGTGAAATCTCATCCTTCTGTGTTGGTAGTTGCGGAAGCGGCAACCTCCACCTCAACCCTGTGCATCACCCTTTTGCCCTCCCTGGTGAGACTAGGAACCCGGTGCTCAAGTACCCTGAAGGTTTCAATGTTACCAACTCTACCGAGGCGGCCGCTGCATCTTCAGCACTTGCTTCGTTCTCCAGCGCTTATCCTGCACCCACCTCCGCCAGCACCGTTTCCTATGTGCGCACTACCCCTACTCCCGGTGTTCGTGATGTCAATTATCCCCCATATGCCATCAACAACGTCAAAGGTCCTCTAGGTGTGGCTGCCATCTCACCTAATGCCACCCACGCGGAGGGCACGCTGGAATATGACATGCACAACCTTTGGGGTCATGGCATCATCAAGGCCACCTACGCGGCCTTGTCTGAAATTTTCCCTGGTCACCGCCCATTCATTATTGCCCGCTCTACCTTTTCTGGTTCTGGTGCCTTCGCTGGGCACTGGGGTGGTGATAACTGGTCTAACTGGCCCAGCATGGCCTTTTCGATCCCACAGGCTCTCCAAATGTCCCTTCTTGGCGTTCCGATGTTTGGGTCCGACACTTGTGGCTTTGCTGATAATACTGATATGGAGTTGTGCAACCGCTGGATGCAACTGAGCGCATTCTTTCCCTTCTACAGGAATCATAATATTCTCGGGGCCATCAGTCAGGAGGCATATACATGGGCGTCTGTTATTGATGCAAGTAAGACAGCCATGACTATCCGCTACGCGCTCTTGCCGTACCTTTACACTCTCTTCTATCACGCTCATACAGCGGGACACACCGTCATGAGAGCACTTGCATGGTAGTTCCCTAACGATCCATCTCTCGCCGGCGCAGATCGACAGTTCCTACTGGGACCCTCTATTCTGGTTATTCCTGTTCTTGAGCCTGGAGCAACGTCCGTTAATGGTGTCCTCCCCGGTTTGATAGAGGGTAGTGAAAAATGGTATGACTGGTACAACCAGACCGCCGTGCCAGTACCATCCCAGGCGAACACAACCTTCAATGCTCCACTTGGCCACATTCCGGTCTTTGTACGTGGTGGATCTGTCCTCCCGCTCCAACAGCCTGCGCTCACGACAAGAGATGCACGACAGAGTCCCTGGGATGTGCTCGTGGCCCTGGATAGGGATGGCAAAGCTACTGGTGACTTGTATCTCGATGACGGTGTGAGCGTCCAACCAGACGCCACCCTTACTGCGGAATTCACCGTAGGGGGGAGGAAGCTTGAGGCGGCCATTGGCCAAGGTGGATGGGTTGATGGCAACAGCCTGAGGAACATTACCATTTTGGGTGTTGAATCCGTGGCTGGTGCTGTCAAATTCAACGGTCGCCCTGTTCATCGCAGGAATGTTCACTTTGACAAGGCCAAACAGACCCTAGTTGTTTCAGGATTCGATGTCTCGGCGTGGGCCGGAGAGCGTTGGACCCTAGAGTGGTAGGCATCCAATCCAGTGCGTTGTGCCCCACGATAGAAGGAGTTGAGTATAATAATGCGGCTATCGCTCTCGTCAAGTACCCAAACAAAATAGGTTCAGCGACAGGCAATCGACAAACGCCCTCTATGTCTGTGACGTCTTTGTCTCCATATATTTTGCCCCATTTCTTTCTATGTTTGTACCCGTATTGAATAGAGTATTGTCAGTTCTTGGTCGGTCACGCTAGGAATTCTCAATGCAACTGCTGGCATTATTGGGATGACCGACCCACCTCGGCTTATCCCCCTCAATAGAGGTTGCTGGTTCATATCTAGCATCTTCAAGAAGAAAATATCTACTTCATAACTCTCCCAATTCTACAGTAAACAGTTCTCGGCAACGAAAGAAGGAATTAAATAGTCGTTACGCTCCGTTGTATCACTTTCGTATGCCGCTTCCCACCCACTCGCTCGAGCCTGGGCCCGTTTCCAAGGATGCATTGTCGTCCAGTATGGTACAGTACCAGTTGCGTGACCCCGGTCAGCGAGCCAAATACCTGGACATTCATTGTCTTTGGGGGATGAGCTGCGAACTGGCACTTCTCAGATGGTCGTCCTGTAGCCCTGAGCATTTTCTAAGAGAGATTGCCCGCAGAGGTGAAAGGCCGCCCCACCCAGCTTCTTCTTGACCGTATGACGGCCATTCTTCTTAGGGTTGACCGAGCTAGGTGTTATGGTGCACAGCTAGCCTTGCCAGCTCGTCCGGAGGGCGTGGAGATATAAGGCCAGCGTCTCCCAAACATGTTCACTTCGGGACCAGATTCCTTGTCCTCCCTGCTATGCGCCTTGGCGCAGCAGTGACGCCTTCACGGGAGTGTCCTGCCTTGTATCAAATCCCCTCCATGGCCATGCGCCCCATGTCGTATAAGTTGTGCCCTAGGCCGTTCCCAGATGAATAGGTCCCTTCTGTTCTTAGAAGCTAGTTCTAAGAAAACCCAGCTATAGGCACCTCTACACGGTGCTGGGGACTAATACTTGCCAGAGGACATCCTTGCAAGGAAGCCAAGCTCTACCTGCAGGTTGCCGTCGGTTCTTGTGAGCACAGGTCCAACATTCTTCATCACCAAGGTTGAACAGAAGACTGAATCTGTTTACGGCCGTCGCTAGCATGTATAAGTAGTCAGTCTCTTCTGCTGTGGCAGTACCAGATATATTCAGTCGGAATGGATTCTCCTGCAGTAGGCCTTGTTTTCTAAACAATGACGTAGAGATGCTTAATTCATCTGCATCCGGCCGAAGCTTGGTTGTCCAAATCAGACGTGATGTCATGTAGATCCGCATCAGTCTTCTCCAGTCAGCAAGTCCACGCCTCGGCGTGTTGTCCAATTCGAAGAGATTGCCGTCCTAGCTGATGCTGACGCAGACCGTCGAGTTTGTCCTTGTGATGAGCGTTCCGGATCCTCACGAGTTCGCCTCAGGCGTGTCATGTCATGATGACCCTCTTTCGAACCAGAAGTCCGCTGAGACTCCAGATGAGTTAGCGACAGTGGCCTGGTGGACTTTATAGGAACATGGATATCAGGAGCAGACAGCGCCGAGTGATCCCGCCCGCTGAGCGATGAGGCCTGCGAAATACTCTCCCACATCGTGGCCAAGGAGTTCCGGTGGCGGTAGTAAAGCCAAGGGCGAGCGAGGAAATAGCCTCGGACGACTTTGCGGACGAAAAGATTGTACGAGCTTTAGGAAAGATCTTGAGAAAGTCAAGTTTATCAATATGGTTGTGACCCGTCCGCATTGTCTCTGCTATTAAACCTCTATATGCATCTTCTAGAGGTTTAAAGCAGCCTACATCTAAAGGCTGTAGGTTGCACGAAGGATGTGCGGGCATGCAGGTAGGAATAATAATAATCTCATTGCATATTTGGTCAAATTGAGGTGTAACATATCTGCCATGACCATCAAGAATAAGTAGACAGTATTTCCCAGTTGTACGGCTCGTAGTAGTGGGAATAAAGATATTTAAGCCAGCGAAGGACTATCTCATCAGTAGTCCATCTATTAGGACTAACTTCAATTCTCCAATCACGGGGAATCGTTGGAACTTGATCCCAACCCTCTATATGGACTTTCCCTTTGAAAATAACACACGAATGAAGTTGCCCATCCAGTAGAGTTGATACACTCGATAGAAGTAACCCATTCCCGATTACCTGGCTGTACAATCAAAGCTTTTCCATAATAATCGGTCCTAGTAACTACTCGAGCAGTAGCTACTAGAGCCATAGCAAAACCAGTTTCATCGAAATTATAGATATCTTCCAATGCAATACCATACTGCATTATTGTGATTTGTACACCGTTAAACCACTCTTTAATAGTCTTAGGATCTTCGCATTTAGCTCGCCGATAGCCATGTCGTCTGGAATAGCAAGTTTTTATTTCAGGTCGACGCTTGACAAACTTATATACCCAGTTCTCGCCAACTGATTGAATGGGTATAGTACCGCGCTCAGAAAGTAGAATATTGGCCATTTCTCGTATATGGGAGGGTCTGGGAGGTGCTCCACGTCGACCTAGTGATAGAATCCATTATACAAGCGATTCCTCTTCATTCTGAGTTGATTTATGACTATTGGCGCGTGTTTCAGCTCGAAAAGTATGCCCATTCAATCGTCTTCGGAGAGTTGTACGAGGAATATTATAAACGCGTGCTACTTCAGCAATATTGCAAAATAGCGAGTAGAATCCTTCCCTCCTGCTCAGATGAGTTTCTTAGATTTTGACGCGCTTTTGGTGGCATGGTTGGTGGTTGAATTGGGTAGATTATTGATTGTGGTCAAAAAAGGGGAAAGGTGGCCCGCTCGGTAACGTAATCGGTAAACGAGCGGGTCACGCAAACGAGCGGGTCAACGCGCGCGTTTTTCTACGCGTCGGTTTTTTTGAAGCTATTCAACCACCAGCCATACTACCAAAAATGCCTAAATCATCAAAATCTAAGGTGGAACAGGAAGGCAGGGTCTTATTAGCTATATCAGCTATTAAAAAAAAAGAAATTACCAATATTCGTGCGGCAGCTCGTGCTTTTGATATACCCCTTACAACACTTCAAAGGCGCCTATCAGGCAATACATTTCGATTAGATACACGCGCAAATAATCATAAAATGACTTCTAGTGAAGAGGAATCGCTTAAACAGTGGATTCTATCACTAGATAAGCGTGGAGTACCTCCCCGGCCTGCACACGTACGAGAAATGGCCAATATCCTGCTTTCAAAGCGTGGTACTACCTCCTCCTCTACTACTGTAGGGGAGAAATGGGTATACAACTTTACCAAGCGTACACCTGGGCTCAAAGCCTGCTTTGCACGTCGCTACAACTATCAGCGTGCTAAAGTAGAGGATCCTAAGGTTCTAGGTGCTTGGTTTGAGCAGGTAAATAAGACTATTCAGAAGTACGGCATAGCTTCAAGCGATATATACAATTTTGATGAGACGGGGTTTGCAATGGGCCTGATAGCTGCAGCCAAAGTTGTTACTAGGTCTGATGTGCCAGGAAAACCGTTTTTATTGCAGCCAGGGAACCGGGAATGGGTTACTGCCATAGAATGTATTAGTTCTAATGGATGGGCTCTACCTCCCTGTATTATCTTTAAAGGCAAGGTGTATATGGAGTCCTGGTACGAGAATAAAGACATTCCTTCTGATTAGAGGATTGAGATTAGTCCTAATGGCTGGACAAGCAATGAGATTGGCCTACGTTAGCTACAGAATCATTTTATACCTTATACTACCGGCCGATCTGTGGGAAAATACCGTTTACTTATTCTAGATGGCCACGATAGCCATTTAACGCCTCGATTTGATCAGATCTGTGTAGAGAATGATATTATACCAATCTGCATGCCTGCGCACGCTTCTCATAAGCTTCAACCGCTTGATATTGCTGTTTTCTGGCCTTTAAAACGCTCGTACGGAGGCCTGGTTGAATCTAAGATGCGCTGCGGGTTCAATTATATCGATAAGAATAAATTTCTGGAGGCATATCCTAAGGCTCATACAGAGGCCTTTACTAGCAGCAATATTTATAGTGCTTTTAGAGCTACTGGCCTAGTTCCTCTGTCTCCTGAGCGCGTTCTTTCTCAGCTGACAGTTCAGCTTAAGACCCCTACGCCTCCGGGTAGTAGACCCAGCAGCCGAGGCAGCTCAGCGCCTAAAACGCCTCATACAGTTAAGCAGTTAAAGAAGTCAGAATCTACGCTTAAAAAGCTGCTTAAAAATCGATCTCGCAGTCCTGATTCGCCTATCAAAACCAGTTTAAATCAACTGATTAAAGGTGCCGAACGAGCTATAAATGATGTGACGATATTAAAGCATCAATTAGAGCAATACCAGGCCGCGCACGAAAGACAGCTTAAAAAGCGAAAGCGCTCTACTAAACAGATCATTTTTGAAGAAGGCATATCAGTATCTGAAGCCCGAATCCTTATAGAGCGCCGAAATCAGGCAGATGAAGCCGTACAGGCAGATAGATCTCTGCCTACTGAATCGGCTCCTAGGCGCGCTCCATCTAAATCTTCTGGCTGTGGTGTACAGGGTCATAAAATTACGCACTGCCCGAATCGATAGGACTACTCATTTTTATATAGAAGTCTAAATTCATGGTGTTTTGACTATTTTAATTTTCATATGGCGGCGCGTTGACCCGCTCGTTTGCGTGACCCGCTCGTTTACCGATTACGTTAGTGGTTTACGTTAACTTAGGTAATCCACCTCGGATTGCGACACAGATCAATCCCACATGTAGATTCTCATGGCACGCCCAACCAGTCAGAGAATCCTCCAGAATCACATACCCCTACTCCGTAGGACTGACCATACTTGACCACTGGAGAGGGAATCTGCCGTGAACATGAAAGTTAATCCCATATAGATAGGATATCAGCGCAAATGCTATTCTACCAATCCACCTTGTGGACCGCTGGTGGGAGGCCCAGAAGAGATTCCCGGTGGACTCACTGGAGATGGGAGATGGTGTCTCTGGGTCTTTTCGATGCCTAAAATGGCGCGGCCGTTCGGAATATCGAGAAATGACTTTCCCAGTAACGGGTGGACCAAAAGCCGATGAAGCCGATTGACCTTGTATTGGTCGGTTACCCGAAGGATTGACCAGGAGCCGATCTATATATCTCGGTTGGCCGGTCTGGATCTCTAGCGATTGTTATCACTACGAACACTGTTAATCGTATCTACTAAAGCTGGGGTCCACTATGGATTCCCCATTCAGCTCATCCTCAATCTCATCCTTCGACAAGGTCGCAGGCATCGAGCCACTTTTAGGAAGCGGTTACTATGCCTTCTGGAAGAGTACCATGACCTCCTACTCGACAACAAGGCAGGTGTAGCCTGTTGTATCAGGCGAATTGACATGCTCTGACCGTAAATTAAAATATCTATCGCCGACCCATCGCGGCTGGCATAATCCCGCAACTCGGAGAGATTCGCGGAGAACCGGCGCGTCAGGCCGCGGTCCAGGTGCAGCTGGAATTCGAGGGGCAACCAGCAGACTGAACTGGCTACCTATTGCGAATTATTCGCGCAGTTGTGAGAGACCACTTGCAGGCAACCGCCGCAATTCCTGCGTACTGTAGACCTGAATGACACCAGTAACGAGATCAACTTGTCGGCAGCAGACTTTAGATATGTGCTATAACCAGGCTCTCCATTCCTCGCGACCCTGTGCTCCAGTAATCACTTTATTCATTCGGGCGAAGCCGGTCTCAAATGACACTACGACACCGACTTCGAGAGCGAGGAATCGGGTTCTGAGGCTCAATAGGTCAGTTGGAAAGACGTTAAGCCAAGCAACTTATTTACCAGCTTCCAAATACTGCAACAGGGCGACCTGGTGACGAACGGCTTTCCCATGATGCCCCGAAGTCATACCGGAGTATTCCAGAACCAGCCATGCAGACTCGTATCCATCCACTTAATAACATACAACTCGTATTCGAGGAGTCGTTCAAGATTCTCGTGTTCAATACACTCAGCGTCGCTTTCTCACGGTTCCTGTGGGCAAATTGTATAATAAACAAAGGAATCCTATTGCCAACCAGAGCTAACTCTACCACTCCCATCTTTGTCTCCGTCTCATGCCATGCTGATCCCACAAACCTGGCGAATAGACCTCATGAGCCATGAGCCTCGGAATAGGACTCAATGTATTCACCATCGTCATTCATAGCGCATATGGATTTAATCTTGTACCACCAAAGTTAGCAGCCCACAAGGACAAGCTGTACAATGTCATTGTGATTTGCTTCATTCATCTTATGGCCCTCCCTGCCATTTCTGATATGTACATACACTTCCCATTGGCAACAATGAAGGATGGAAAAAGAAATGAGAAGAGCATACTTACAAGACTACTGTTAGTTATACTTCAATTGAAATGATTGAAATTTGGGCTGAGCGCCCCCTTACGATGGAGTGCTTCTTGGCTTCCACGTACTGGGAAACTTCGGGTTCGGGGCATGGTACTATGCGCTAGGGGCGAGGGCGCCATTACTGTGTACAGTGACAGCACCAATCGTGACGCTTGTCAGCACACTATAATACGTTCGGTTCACAATGAGAGAGTTCAAAGCTGGCAGGTGTACGTGAGGCCACAACGGGGTTGGAAGATTGAGGGAGACACTGCCCGCAGGTTACTCAACTATGGTAACATTCCCTCTACATAAAGCCCTTTACAAAGAGGGCCAGAAACCATTGATTAGCTTCAATCTAGGTCCTATCAGCGAGATAGTCGTTCGGTTTCTTTATAATATATGCTGCAAAGCGAGGGGAACGATTATATAGATAAAACCGTGCATGGAAATTTCTGAAGCGTGGCCAGCCTCTTGAACGTGGGTATCAATACTCAAGTGCCCAATTACTGGTCTACCTAAACAATATATACGTGATACTATAGGATAGATGGATGAGCATAACCCTCACATGCAAACTTGAGATTTAGACGGATCAAGAGCTATATCCTTTCCACTTTATAGTGTGGAACAAAAGATATGAAAATGAAAATGGAAGAAAAATGACGACAAAGATTGACCATTTTTTAAATAGTCATATCTTTTTCCACCCTTCACATAACATTTTGCTATCTACACTTGTAGGACTGGAGTATCAACCAGATTTCTGCAAATTCAGTCACATCTCTTCTCTTCAGTGGTGGATATTTTTTTTTTTTTTTTTTTTTTTTGATATCAGAGAGTCCCATGTCTTTGGAATGGCCAATCATCGCAGGACCTTACCATTTTTCTGGTGTCTATTCCCGATCATCCTGGCGGACAGATTAAAGGAACAAGAGGTGAATGGTTGGGTCAGCAAGAAATGAACCAATCAGAGATTAGCCACTATCTGCCAACTAGGTAAGTATTAGCGATGATCCTAAAAGCAAACCGAAGAATTCCACCGAATACTCACATATGTTCCACTGAAGCAAACCAGGTCCTTCTCGACAACCAAAATATAGTATGACTCTTTAACATGGTGACTTGACTAGGTATCTTTTTCTAGCATAAGAACCAGTCTCATTGTGCGACTGTTAGGAAGCTAGCAAGATAGCACTCAAAAGCCCCTTGTATGGCTTTCGGCAAGGCATTACTCATCTCGCAGCCCAATGAAGTTCTCATATGAGGCGCCTGAAAGTTTCTTTTCACCGAGGTGAGAGCGTGGCATCTTTAAAGAAGCCTTATGTCAGTGTCGTGTCTACCGTGGGTTTGGCGTCTGATTTAGTTATCTGTGCTATCGCATCTGGTTCTGAATTTCATATACGTGTCGTCATCTACTCAAGTAGCGTTCGTATTATGATTTAACATGTCACAGGCTAGCGCAGATAATTTGTCTTCATCTTCTTGCCGCACCCCCTTCCCACCGGCAACTTCATACTCAACCGTCTAGGCTTCATGCTAGATTTCAACCATCGCAATAAAATCCGCATCCAAGGTCCCCACCTTTTCAGCTCGCTCCCCAGATCTTTCCCCACGGATTGGCCCCAGCTCCTACTGTACCACCTATTTTCTTCGGCCTGCCCTCAGACACTCGAAGTTCGTTAGTCAATACAGTAATATAGGCTCACCCTGGAGAGACCAACACCGGCCCCAAGAGCTCTACGCTCCTCTGGTTATGTCACAAGACCCGAATAAAAGTCACGTGAGTAATTCAGGAGGATATGCAACACCTCTCCCAGTCGATTCGAACATAAAGACATATGATATCAATAGACTTCGCAATCTAGCAGATGGAAAATATCCTTGCCCGTGGTGCAAGAAGAGATATGCTAGCGCTGTGGCAGTGAATCTACATCTACGAGAACATGAAAATTTGTCAACATGAAAAATATGCATCTAAGAGATGTATAGGATTTTGCCCTAGTGGATATGAATTTTGCTGCATTTATTTCTCCCAATTAAAGCCAAATCCATCGGACAGCGCAGCCATGCATTTAGATCATGCGAACCCGGATACTTACCTCAAATACCAATCGAAGTTCAAACGCACCGATATCCAAGCCCACTTTTGGAACATGGAGCCTAACTATGAATGTCTCGACATAGAAGAAAGTATGGCCCACCACCGCGACCCTAATGCACCCCAGAAGCTTGACGCTGCCTCTGTTGCTGAGTTTGAAAATGATGAGGAGATAAGAAGTTTGTATACAAAGATTGAGATCTTGACAAAGAAGATTAACGGAAAGCCAAACGAACACCAGGATCTCGCATGTGAACGTGAGAGACTATATAACAAAGTAGCCAAGAAGTGCCGCGGCAAGACCAAGAGTTATTCAGCACTGGTGGAAAAACTCTTATGATGAATATATTGCAGGAAAGGATTTCACGGAGCGTGATTCAACGTACCTGTTTTCAATCTACCGCAAATACATCCCAGAGCGAGATCGGCTACGAGACAATTTATTCAATAAGTTGCCCGAGCACTTTAGATTCTGTTCCACCTCTCCATAAATAGGTACTCCGGGTAATCTAATACACTTTTGTCCGAGCATACATGACTAGCAAGCGCACAGGGAAGATGAGGAAGCCCTTAGAGTAAGTGAACATTTATAGAGTACAGTTCTACGAGCAACCAATAGCTTGATTACCAAATACGAATTTATACCCGGAAGAGTGGCCTCCCACAGAACAGTTTAAATCCACTATTGGGCAAGAGTGACTTGTGTCTCTAGCCACCATCAAGTAACTAATTTAGACCTCGCAAAAATTCGAGATCTGCGGGTTGGGTTAAAAGGACTGATTTTCATTTGACTTATCAATGTATATAGAAGACTCGGAGTTATTTGAAACTAATTCAAGCTCTTTCTAACAAGGTCTATTTTCCTTGACGAGTATAGATCAGATAACCGAATTGCGTAACTAAACGCTGCTGATGCCACTCACTGTTATTAGCAGATGTTGTTCTCGCTTGCGGTGAACAAATATATAAAAATATCCATGGCAAAATTGGCGGTAAACAAGTATGCATCATCGGAGAATGGATAAGAGCCTATATAGCTTTTTGGTTCATTTCACGTTTCGTGTGATCAATGTAAAGTCCCTTACCGAAAGATTGAGCAGACGGAGCCCACTATTACTGTCGGAAAATGTCATTACGCTGGGATCAACTACATACCTTCTTGGCAACGTGAAAACCAATATATCCTTTCAGGTTATTGGACTGCTTCCAATTATTTTCGTAAATCATTTGCGAGCCTTGCTTATGTCCATAATGAGTCCGTTCACATCTACTCCCATCTTGTACCTGCCATTCTCCTTTCAGTCTTTAGCATAATGCTCCATATATCACCCAAAGCTAGGTATGCGAGCGTATCAACAGCAGATACCATAGCTTTGGGGTGTTTTGTGCTTGGGGCTGTTCTGTGCCTGGTCATATCAGCAACCTTTCACACCGTTCAGAGAAATTCCTCGCATATAGCACCTATTGCAAAAGAAATGGATTATATTGGTATTGTATTTCTGATAGTTGGGAGCTTTATTCCAAGCATATTTTATGGGTTTTACTGTCACCCTATCCTACAAAAACTCTATATATCTATGGTCTGTCCTCACTTTTCTTCCATTTCCCGCGTTCTTGAACGAGAGACCTCACATATATTTCCAAGATAGCTTCCCTCGGTCTCCTTTGTACCGCAATTTCAATAATTCCTCAATTTCGACACCCCACCTGGCGATCCTTTCGTGCGATGATGATCATCGCCCTTGCGCCATGAGCACTCTTACCTGTCATTCATGGAATTATGAAGTTTGGTATTAGGCAAATGAACAAACAAATCGATCTTTTCTGGGTTGTTCTTCAGGGTTCTCTCTATATTGTAGGGGCTTGCATATATGCTGTGAGTCAAAAAGTTGTGTCTTACGATCCAGCGTCTAATGTGCACATTCTCAGAACCAGGTACCGGAGCGTATATACCCTAGCATTTTCATATCTAGATAACCTCCCGCCAAATATTTCACCATATGGTGGAATTGGCTATAATAATGCACCTTCATGGATTGATCAATGCCTTCGATTACAATCATGGTCTTATGCCATACATTGCTGATAGGAGGTATATCGTATGGCTCACTTTTCTGTACTGCTGCTGATAGGTCATCCCAGCATAACTTGAGCAAGTTTGTTGGCCAGTCAATCTGCTGCGTCGTTTCCTAGGCTGTCGCAGGGCCCGGGCATCTAGGAGAGCGAAACTTGTTTTGAAAGTATATCATACATTGATGTCCGAAGTTTTTTCGAGTTCTAGATCCATGATTGATTACTATTCAACTGGTATTCAGTGCTCAGTTCAATTTCTTCACGAGCCAATTTCGAATTACTTTTTAAGCCATTACCGAGTCATAGATTTCCCATCTCTATCACTTGGCGCGCGAACAAGGGGTCCTGGATTCGAGATGAATATGACTGGTATATAAAAAGCTGCTTGGTAGTTGATGGACAGTCTTAGAATGAGAATTGTTGTGGAATCCCAGGGGGAATGGGTCGCGGGTAGCTATCGTATCGGCTACAGGCTCATCGGGTGCCTAATTAGGAGGTAGATGCCATTTGTAGAACACCAGGAATCAACTTATCTCAAACACTGGAAGGCACTAATATAGGGTCGCGGCGAAACAAAGGAATAACGATGAAGACAAGAAACGAACCAAGAAGCATAGAGGAAATTGCAGCGCAAGCCAAGAAAGAAGCATGGTATGTAGGGAGTAGAACCCTTCCTCTCACTTCGTTCGATTCGTTTCGGGGCATGGCCATTTGACTTGTTCCCGACAAAAAAAAAAAAAAAAAAAAAAAGAGTAAGGCGAAAGACAAGCGGGCAGATCCACTGGGCCACACTTCGCAATAAGTCCAATGGTTCTAGGGGGTCCTACCCATGCACTCGTCTCGGGAAATAGAATACTATGCGTGAAATTCGGATTGAGACCCCCCGTTATGATCGCTCTCCAAATTGTGTCGAGCGAGAGCACCGATCATTCGAACCCAAGAATCGGACATGCGATTCTGATGCTCAATCTACGGACCCTGTTCTTAAACTTCTCCCGTGCGAATGGCCTAAGCTGAATGACTTCGACGACCGTATCTTTCTCATCCTTGCACCGAGACGTGTCTGGGTTATGTGGCATCGACCGACTGCAGTGACTGTCAGAATCAGACTTTCCTACACCAACTAGTACCCTTACTCTTCATTCTGAGAGCAAGTCGGTAGAAGGTCATTTTTAACATGCGTCGGCGCTCCCTATGATGGTCTGGTTAGCATTTCACTCGTTAACTGTAGTAACCTTCGACTTACGATCTCTGGTATCCGGTCAGAACTGCGCCTGAATGGGGACTTCACAAGTCGAAAGACCTGGCGAAAGCATTCCATTGTTGCAGTGAACTATAGGATATGAAAAATTGTGTGAGTGCCCATATATAAGACTTAATACAAGGAGTAAGCTGCATTTCTTCAATGAAATCAAATAATGGATGCAACGAGGGGCGATGGTTCAACTCACCGAAAGTGTCGAGATTTAGAAGTAGGTTTGATGTTGTAAAAGTCTACAAGGCAATCAATCCGTTGGCTTTCTCATGGCATTTAGGCCCTTTCAAGAGGGTTTCAAGCAGCTAGAAAGATCAGCACTGGATACTTCGTGTTCCTCTTAAGGAAGACCGAGAGCCTGAATCGGTCTTACAAGCACAGGGCATGTACGGATGATAGGGGTTATCTGAGGTAGGGAAAGAAGCCGATCGTCAGTGTCGGCTGAAGGCTGCGTACCCCTCGTTGACACCCTGTGAACATATTGCAACAACATTAGAACATTAGCATTACGAGTCTCCAAGTTGTCAGCCAAGGGTCACGTGAAAGAACTACACATAAATGGCCTTGATGCAAGTACTGCGGCAGGATCAACATAATTCCAAACAGACTATTCTCAAGGGATAATAGTTCTGTCGCTTCGGATATCGCTGTAGTAACGGCCCCCTTCAAATATCTAGGCTTAACTATTTGGTATTCTTCAACAGGTAAGTCTGCTACTCTAGATGCAAGGGACAAACTCTGGGATACCGTCCCAAAAAATCACCGCAAAGAGCAATTCTTGGCATGATGGTGGCAGCCTATTTTCTTTCTTTTCTTTTCTTTTTTGGGGGGTTCTGGCTGAGAAATGCCAAGTATCTGGAGTGTCTGTATCGAGAGTAATGCAGGACATTTTTGATGTTGCAATCATGAATGCACTCATCTAATCCACCACTGACCAAGGGCCAGACGGAGAAAAAGCTGTATTCGAGGCCTGTTAAGATCTTACTGTGACGAGTTCGACCAGTTTATCCGTTAGTAGACAAATAAAGTGAATGGTGACCTCCTTGCTAGTGTAAGATGCCTCCTGGGGAGAAGGGTGGGGAGTTCCATGTTCCTGAAGAGTACCAAAGAGAACTGAGCTTAGATTACTGCCATTATGCGTGCCGTGAAGAGGCTCAAACCCTAGCAGGATCTCACGATAGTTCCAGTCTTGATCAAGGAAGTAGCCAATAATTGTCATAAATACCTGGTTAAAAGGGGATGTCCAGCAATCCAGTGCAATTGAAAGCTTTCCATTTTGAGTGAGCCTTTGGAGTAGAGTTTCTTGCTTTTCTTTAGCTTCTTTTTGTAGATAGCGTTGAAGGGGTTTGCCGGATGGAAGCTTTGGCTTGGATGGTGCAAGTCGTACAATATCAATGAATTTATCAAGTCCATCATCATGAACTTGAGTGGGTATATTTTCCGTCTCTAATCCTGAAAACTGTCTCCATCTCACCAAAATCAACGAACCGGCACCCGCAGGGCATTTGACACCTTGCTTGTATCGTAATTAGGATATCAGAGTAGGCATAAGGGAGGTCATTGCGTTTGGGGATGCGTCGGTGAAGCCTTAGACAACACAGGACAGAACAACCCTATCTTGCGCCTAAACTGGGATAATTCGAAACCGTTGATCACAACGAAATTGAGCCACCTAAAGTCGGAGAAATACTAAGAGGAGACCAGCCTGTCCTTCTGGACCCTACCCTCTTATCATATCCAGATCCATCCACATACGCCAGGTGGTATGAGAAAAATTCTGACTTAAAATGGAAGTACATGCAGATATCTCTGCGTTTCGCTCTCGCATTATATTTCGTAGCTTTTTTTGACCAAACCCCACGCTTAAGAGCAGGGCCAAGGGTTACATGCACCTGAAACACGTTTCATCAAGGTATGGATGGGACTTCTCGAGTAGGTGACCTCAGAGTCTTTAAGCACAACTGATGTCAGTCACCGTGGATTTTTGCCCTTACTTTAGGGGTGCCTTCACATTTCCAAACAAAGTCATGTTAGCGACATGTCTAGCGATAGTACTTGGATGGCAGCCAGCTGCATTAGCAATGTTGGGGTAAGTAGGTCCATTGCTTAAAATCATATCACGGATAAACTCCAGGGTCAACGGAGCTTGGTTGAGGCCATTCTTTTCTGCCCTACGAGGATGATCGACGTGATCTTCGGGGAGAGATCCTTGGTAGATTCATGTGGATATATTTCCATGTGCGTAGCCTTTCCAAAAGGAAAAGATCAGCGTCAAAAGGATGCTGTATTTCCAAGAGACATGGTCAAAGGCACATAAGTGACCTGCGCGACCGAAACCAGCGACGGTGCATGAAGGCCGCAAACTAAGGACGTTTGTCAAAACACAGACCTCGTGGGATATGTACGCCGAAGAAGCTACATTGCACAATGACACTGCCTACATGTATCCGTTGTGTCAAAACGGGAACAACAGTGTCAATATCCCTAGACATGGTCTCTCTTTCATGCGGATGCATGGTATAACAGAGCAGTCATTATGTTATCGCCAAGAAGGCACGGGCTTAAAGAGGAACAAAAAGATACGTTACCGAACCATGATCAATTATGCATAAAATATACCGATTGTTCGCCAGGCTCCATAGAAACAAGCTTTTTGGGCACAAACCAGGTCATAATCAAAGGACAGTGCCGCAGCCCAAGTTCCACAACATAAACCTTCATTTATCCACTCCCTAATAATTCATGAGCAAGAGCTCAAAAGATGTTTCTGCCATGGTAACTACTTACACTATATTGTATAGACGTTCGTCAAACGGGAAATTCAGAGATATCAGGTCTGCTGTCGACGAATAATGTACTTATGCAAGTATGTGAGCCCAGTCCAGCTAAGAATCGTCGGAAGAGAAGGGTCTTCTTCCAGCCAGTATCCTGCCTTCAGGTCGGCCTTGCCGAGAGTAACAGCCACTGACTGGTCCGAGATACTGTCTAAGTCCTGGTAGCTCAAGAGTAAGTAATGATGTCGTGAATTTGGCCAAGTATCCTAGATAAGGAACTTACAGCATCCAATACAGCATCAATCTGCCCTAGTTGCTTGGCAAGATCTTTAGGTTTTGAATTGAGGACAGTGGTGCGGCTCGTTAGCCAGCGAGTGGCGGCTGCCGCGCTAAGGTAGATTTTGTATGCTTGGTGCCGACGAGCACTCGAGTCGATTATAATGCTATGGCCATAGTAATTTCTCAGCAGAGGCTGTAATGTCAGAATGAGTGTCACACTCACTATTTGAGTTGGGTTGTCATCTCTCCCTCATCCCTACCGTGTCTAGGGGTAAATGGTGGCATGTAGCTATCGATAAGCATTCCCTGGGCAGCTTGGCGGCTCTGAATGAGAATCCTAGAGCATTCATGTCGGTAATCATTTAATGATAGAAGACACTCTGTGTAGTTCATTATATAAATCAGTAGGGTACGATAGTCGTTGATCAGCTCAGCAATTCTTAAGGCTCGAGCGTTATCCAGAGGGATAGATTCAACGTTGTGGCCGTGCGGCCGCTCTACGCTGTGCAAGCCATGATATTGAAAGATGTTTCTATTAAGACTTTCTTGGGTAATCCCAGCAGTTTTCTGCCAATGTCTCTGCACCTATTCCAGTTGTTAGTGATTACCAGAAGGACAACTAAGCCCTTGGATAATTCGAATAACACTAATTTAAGAGAGTGGCTCACCTCATCTGGAGCGTCAAGTGGCTCTTCACGTACAGTTGCAGTTGGATTCAAGAGGTTTGGAATCCTAATTCGGAAATTCGAATCGATCCCGTTCGGCATAATTTCCTATTCAACCTGCCACTCTTATAGCTCTCTTGGAAGAGCATAAGCCGAGTCTAGCTAGTCTTGTGATATTAAGTTGCGTATATACCTTAGTTAAACCTGGTTGCGTGACCCTTGTAGGCGGGTTTTGTTGGTTGTAGAATCTAGGATCGCCAATTAGTCTGGGCTGGGAGAGGTGTAGTTGCTGAGGTAAGCTTGGTTAACGTATTTCACTAGTGAGCCGCCACCACCTACGAGCCGCCACACCGCGTTTTGACCGAGGTTGAAAAACTTACTCATTTCAACTATCTACCATGCCTCCAAGATCGCGTCAAAATCTAAAAGATCTTGCTGAACAAGAGGGCAGGATCCTATTAGCGATTTCCGCTATATAAAGTAAACAAATTACCCAAACTGCTAAAGCTGCCCGCGTCTATAATGTACCGCGTTCAACTTTACGCGACCGACTTCATGGCAGTAAATATCGCAATGAAACACGCGCCAACAATCATAAACTAACAGAGAATGAAGAGGAATCGCTTGTACAATGGATTTTATCACTAGATCGACGTGGAGCGCCTCCTAGGCCATCAGATATACGAGAGATGGCCAATCTTCTTACAGAGCACGGTACTACATCTATTCAATCAGTGGACTACTAAGTTTATAAGACGACGTCCTGAAATAAAACCCTCCTATTCCCGACGAAATGACTATCAAACTACTATATACATACCGTAACTACTATTGCCCAGTGTATGGCATGTCATATAGGTTCGGCTCATATATCAACTACGTGCCTGGTTCCTTGATGATTCAGGCTGATATATACGATGTGGCTTCTATTGTACGTAGAACTACTTGTTCAGTAATCGCATGAGCAGTAAGGCTAGTACATATCGGTGTCCTTATTTTCGCAACTGGATAGCAAAGGACCTGCAGGTGAGAACGGGAGATATGGAAGCGCAAACCTAGAGGATGTGCAGACATGTAAACGGGCAAAAGAGTTGCTAAGAGGGATACTAAAGTGACGGATGTGGATTAGGATAATCATAATAAATGAATATTTACCTATCCAAAGACTGTTCAATCTATGATGCAGATTCAATTCCAACACAATCATAGGTCTGGATGGACCACCACCCATATCGCCGGCCACATTTCAAAACATATAGGTAATTGCGCAAATACAACACAGAAAATGTGCCTTTCTCCTGCTACCCTATCAAGCTACATCACAAAATCGAATGGGTGTCTCCAACAAGAGCAATATAACCTTTTACAAAGCGGTCAAAAATCTCACAAGCCATAGCCCCAGGGCTCAAAGGGGGCAGAAGGCTAGCATCACCCCTAGGAAATAAATGTTTAGCGAGTTTTTCGAGTCAGTGATAGCACAAAGTCCAATGTTTTGAGCTTCAGTGAGCATAATGTTAATCCCAGCTATTGGTGTTATTATTTTTTTTTTGTGTTAATCTTTGGATATTACCACTAAACTTCGAATGCTTTCCAAGCCACCGTGCCATTGGAACCCACACAAACACCGAGAACTACGGCTTAGCTACTCAAGTCCATGAAGCCCGGCCTTGATGAAGTGGGTAAAATACATGAGCAAAAGGTTGATGATACCATTTTGGGGTCCAGGAACGAGTTTGTTTCGCAACCTTGGCTTTAGGGATAACTTGCGGCTACTAGTAGGAGGTGGGAGGCCCAGTGTTGAAGGATAAGAAGGCTGATTATCACATATTCTGATGGAAAAGATTTGTTCTAGCCTATGCTTATATTCTACTTCTTTAGTGTCCAACTCCTGGCCAAGGTTTATAATTCTAGAAGTAAGAATGCCGGACATGCTCACCTACTAAATGACCCGCTGTGTATAAAATACAATGCCCAGGGACTAGTGTCGTAAAAGTATCAGGTGATAGATAGAGAATCACCTCCTTTTCTCACACTGTGCTAGGAAATACATGGATAATCAAGGGCTCTGAAATCTCTCACGCAACGCTTACTGATCCCTGCCATGGGCTGTAGGTGGGAACGTCGGTTGCTCGGCTAATTGCTCAGGTCGATGAAGCTGGCAATCAGCTTCAAACTTCCTATTAGCCTGGCAATGAGGGCTGATGACATCTGCTTTACACAAGGGGCACCACATGCTGCCCATGTGAAACCACCTATCTATACAAGAAGGGTGAAAAATATGTCCACATAAAAGCACACGAATGTATTCCTCGTCATGGAACTCCTCGATGCAGATCGAGCACAAGCGTGTATTGTCTTCGCCACAATTTGCATTGCCAGGGAAACATGGATCGCGAGCTCTGAATGAATCAGAAGAATGTGTTAGTATATTGGCAGGAATGCAGGGAAGAGCTTTTGCATCGTTGCCAGTTGTTATTAACTGGTTTCCACCCTGAGAAACATTCTCCTGACAAGACCTTTGATCACAATCGCTGAAATTTGGCTCTGATTTTGTGGGTCTGGGTTGACACACTCGCGATTCAATCCATGCCCCGTATGTCATACAAGGTAATAGCTCGTTAGTAGCGACGGAGACTAAAATCTCCTGCTTACAGGCATGCGGCCTTGTTCTTGATTCTTCGTCGTGATTCCTTGGGCGTCGATGTGATCGCACACAGCGTGTAAGACAAAGTATTATCCTGCATATCTCAATGTATTAAGGACTGAAGCCAACAGAACACATATGGTCAACTTACAAGAGCGTTAAAAATACCCCTGCAAGCCCAATAAGAGTGTAGATATTACGGTTAGAATTTTCCTCTTCTTGCGTTTGCTCCATTGTGGTTATTACCGATCTGTTGATTTAACATTTAGCATTGACTGTCTGGCCATTGTTCTTATACTTTCTGCTTGTGCGACGCAACCTTGACAGTTCAAATCCCGGCGTGTAAAGACCATGGAAATATACGTGAACTGCAATGCTCTCTCTGCCAAGGTCAGTTAATTCGGTAGTCTGGGGTGGTTTTGACTAGACGGTACAGTGAGATAGTGTGCGGTTGTACACCTCGTGGTTGGCGTGGAGTCCATGGTCAGTAGTCTTGGATTATAGAAGACCGGTCCCATAGGCAACACTACCATGACGTCTGAGAAGGATTACCACGATTTAGTGCTGATCCAAATCGCTTTACTTTGCCAAGAAGATATATTGATGCTAGCCGAACGTCATTTTGGATCACGACCATCTATTGTTTGAGCTAGCTCAAGGGCATGCTTTGGGACACATATGTAGAAGCCCAGCTGCCAAGATAGGTCTGTAATCACCGGAGGGAGCAAGTTCTAATGAGTCAGTCGATGCCAAGAAGATGTGCTTGTCATCGACCCTTTAGTTCCGTGGTTTTAGATATTATCCGTCTATATTTCACTGGCAATAAGTAAAAGTCCGAATGTGGCCTTACTGTAACAGTCTGTGATGTTGGCTTAGGGAAACACCAACTTATTTCTGTTTATTCAGGTCTACCCATCGAGGAACATTCTAGTTGGGTAGGCAACGGATTAGTGTCCTAGTCTTCTGCAGTATCTATCGTTGTCTACAAATCTCAATTATTTACAATAACAAGAGTCAATGAAAAGCATTTGCTCTCAAGACCTATTTCTGCCTCACTGAATCCACCAAAGCTCGTTTGGGGAGATACCATGTAAGAAGCCTCACTATATACTTCTAGTTTCACTGCTTAGCAAATTCATTGGACTTCACCAGATCGCTTGGTCCATAGAACCTCAAAAGTCCAGTCAGTTTTGAAGAGTTTGTACAGATGATGCATTCTCAAAGTCCCCGACGTGATAATGATACGATCTATTTCCCCAATGAGATCTGGACCGACGTGGTTATGCCCAATGAATTATTGCCGGAAGGACAGCCAGACGTAAGTAACGAAATTACTATACTTTCGAACGACCTGCCGACAAGTATCTATTGGTACAAGACAAAGTAAATTGCACACAGCCACGACTGCGCCCTAGATCAACGTCCAAGCCAATCCTTCCGCATCTTAGCGTCGGTGCCAACCATGAATAGTATGGGGTTGGTGCAGCAGCCTCGCATTTCGTAATATCAATAAACTTTCGACAACCGGGTTTATACTTCCCGTGGATATTTCGAACCTTGTTTTGACTGGGTACATTGTGATCTCACAACAAACCTACTGGAAGTTAATAACGTCATGAGCAGACGATATGATCTGAGAGACATACCACACAGGATCGAAAATGTATGTTCCTAAATGACGGGGGAAGAAAGCTCACCAATAAGACATACTACAACTTTCGACTAAAACACAAAGACAGGAAAAAATAGAGATGGATGAAGCATTTAACGGCAACCGATGTATTGGTACAATACATATATATACCGTGGTACATGTATGGCAATACCTCTATATTCCATAGTGCCCGTTCCAGTTGAATATAGAACCACGCACGATGATGATGTAGATTCACTGTAGTAGAGTTGCCACCCATTGCCACGATAGATGTTTCATCCAACATAAGACTCCTGCTATGTCACCCTTCCACAGCATTCTAGTGCCTTTAAAACTAGGCCATAGGCTCTCCACCATATATTGATCATTACCTGAAAATGCCGGCTTTCACTATGGCTCTCCATTTATATTCTATCTCGGTTTTGCTTACGTGTATACTTCTAATTAACAGTATGAGACTAAACTACGCGGCTGCATCGAGTACATGCAAAACTAGTGAATCTGAGATACACATTGAAGAAGCTGAAATCTATACACCCCTTCAGCGGGTGGATCATCTATCTCGATTTAGTCTTGGTCTCCGTCTTTCAAATGAACATCGGTGGCTTAAATTCACTTTGGAGCCAAACGATAATATTATCGCAGATAACACTCAGTTAAGCTATGTGGATAATGGCAACTGCATCGGAGTTTGCAGAAACATGGAGCGATCTGCCGTAATGGCATTTAAAGGGTCAGTTTGGGTCCAAGGGACTGGCAAATGCTGGGATAAGGTTGGCTGGGCCAGAATCTGTATAAGAAAAGACGGCCCTGACCCGTTATTTGAGGGTACTTATAGCAAACAAAAATCTATCTACGACATTCAAATACGGCCCGCCGAGATGAACAACACACGTGAGCCCAAGCCCAGTTTGCTGCACACCACAGACAATCGCATGGTTGTCGACCTCGATTCTAGATTATATCAACATCCTAACTTAGCACCGCAACGATCAGATATCAGTTTATCCGGGCACAAGACAGAGACCCAGCATTTTGACCTGTATTCAGCAATTAACATATCTGAGACAGATATGTATTGTCCGTCTTTTCCCGCTAGAGAAGCCCAATATCAGCTGATGTCTAGCGGGCAAGAGCAATACCCAGACCAATGGGATTTGAGAAGGACAATTAGCAACACTACTGGATGCCCAAATTCGAGGATGGTGGCTTCAGTAGGAATTGCGACAGATTGCTCCTACACAGCCTCGTTCGATTCCACGGATGCCGTGATACATAACGTCATCAGAATGATAAACAGTGCCTCGGAAGTTTTCGAAAGCTCGTTCAACATAACCCTTAGTCTAGGGGCTTTAGTAGTCGGCGAGAGATGCCAGGACCTGACACCGGATCCAAGGACTTGGAACATTCCATGCAGTAATGGAAGCCTTTCCCATAGACTGGATTTATTCTCCCGTTGGCGCGCCTCACGGAGAGATAACCACGCCTTCTGGACCTTGATGACAGGTTGTTCTGGGGCAGGGATAGGGCTAGCTTGGATGGCACAGCTATGCAATACGAATTTTGACCAACACTGTGGCACGGGAGCTAATGTCGTGGCCCGTACAGGCGTGGAATGGCCAGTTTTCGCGTAAGCACGGACCCGTCTTTCGTGATTGGTAAGCCTGCATTCATGGTGCTGATTTTTTCCTTCATAGTCATGAGGCAGGACACATTCTTGGAGCAGTGCATGATTGCGATTCATACGAATGTCAGTCAGCCCAAGCCACGTCGTTGGCATGCTGCCCGTATTCTGAGGCAATGTGTGACGCAGGCCGGAGATACATTATGACATCTACGTTTACTAATCAGGTGGATGAGTTCTCCCCCTGCTCAATCGGGAATATATGCACAGCTCTGGGTCACAATGTGACTCGGTCTGATTGCCTTGCTGAAGATGTGACTGTCATAGTCGCAGATGACACTGGAAGCTTAAGTGTTAGTCCGCCTAGGCGCCTTATCGGACTCACCGTAGGCCTGAGCATCTTGATACCATGTTTTATTGTCTCGAATTTAGGTGTTTTAGATGGTTGGTGAGACTCAAAAGACGACAGAGACTGATGGGGTGACTAGTTGGCATATGCTAAATATTGGTAAATTTATCATTGTTTAGGGCTACATCCATAGATACTAGGATCCTATCTGCGAGCTTCACTCGGTCCTGTGCAGTGTGGCCACCTAAGAGACTCCAGTGGGAAGAATATCGGTCCTTAAGCCAAAGATGGTAGGTTTTGTTTTTCTTTTAATCATAAGTTTGGTCATCGTGTTTGGCGATTCCGGTAAGTAGATGTTAATGAACGGCTGTTGGTATCTGTTGGCACCTGAAGGACAAGGTTGCATGGGGAAGATATCCATTCTCCGTAGGCGGGGTCTTAGAACTATTGCAATACCACCCATTCTACCAGATATCGCAATTAATTCACGTCAATGAGCGTAGGGTTGATGGTATAGGGATAATATGAAGGGTATCATATGCAAGAATGCTCTGCTATAAAAGCTCTGGTTCTATGAAAGCCTATTTCCGATTGTTACACGGATGTCCTCGGAAGGCTTATGGCACTTGCTGATGGTAATAGACGGGGAACCTAGATCGTGCCATTTGCCCTTTGCTAATGAAAACTCACCTAAAATCAGGCTTGAATTTTCCCCCGCAATGTGGCTACTTACCCATAATATTACAGTGTTCTTAACACATTGAGCTCAGGGTGTCAGCTACTGATAATAAATCTGTGGTTCATCACAAGCTAGGATGATGTTATATATCAGAATTTAATGGCTAGAATGGCTCGGTGTTTGATTGTCCTAGAAAGGCATTGTGCATATGCGATTCCGCATATAGGTATCCTTACTACATAACATATCACGGCTCTTCAGGTCTTCTCAGCTTATCATTAATAGCATGCCCCGATTATAAAAAGCTTCAAATGGGTCAATACCATCTTCGGATTTTATCGCGACAAATCATGTCTAATGAATGGAGGTGGCTTTTGGACGGATGCAAAACGCAAAACTTCTCCATCATCGGAACAATTAATCTATGGTTCAGAATAAACCTTCACTGGAATACCAAAAAAAAACCTGTATTACGGCTATGCAAGATAGAACCTAGTACTCGGAGGACCTGGATGACGCAATTGCCGGTGTATTCACCCGAAATTTCCGCCTCCCCGTTCATGCTCTTGCATTTTTGTCATATCGCTTTCACGTTTGATCTGTTAAAGGTTGAACAGTGAGCTGGTAACTAGTTTGGACTGTTTCTTCAGCAGGATGAGCTCCATCCAGAAATCAAGCACCAAAATCGGCAACAATAGCCAAGTGCTGCGATTCGCTGAAGAGGGCACGTTTAAGATTTCAATCTTCTCAGATCTGCACTACGGCGAAGGTAAGCACTGCGTTATGGATTATGGTTTGCTTGAGATAGTATGGTTTTAACAAATGACTCAACTGCAACAGCCCAGGACTCAGGGGGCTCTGAAAATGATGCTCGTACAGCTGGTGTTATGGAAAAAATAATATCTGCTGAGAGGCCCCAACTTGTTGTTCTTAATGGTGATTTAATAACCGGCGGAGCAACTGATTCCTCCAATTCTAGTTTATACGTGGACCGCCTTGTAACTCCACTGCTCCAACATGATGTGCACTGGGCATCTACGTACGGGAACCACGACAGTGATGACAACCTCTGTCCACAGAACGTTTTCGACAGGGATGAACAGTACAAAAACAGCCTTACACAAAGAATGGTTTTCAACTCTTCCGCAGGATTCACAAATTATTATCTTCTCGTATGGCCTTATGACATGGCAGCAGAGACACCAGCGGTTATCTTATGGTTCTTTGATACGAGAGGCGGCAATACGTGTTCCGAGATGGTGAATAATCCTAGAATGCGTCCAAACTGGATCCACCCGTCGGTAGGTCTGTTCTGATCACAGAAGAAGAACTAGAGGACGAGGAAGAAGGGGCCAAGCTTCGATAGATGCAGACTGACGCGTGAAGGTAACTGAATGGTTCGGGAAAACCCACTCAGCACTCACCGTGAAATACAATAAAACCATACCCTCACTTGCATTCTTCCATATTCCTACTTATGCTATGCGTGCGTTCCAGGATGTCGGGGTCGATGACCATACTGAACAAGGTATAAATGATGATGTACCGGTCAAGCACCAAGGGTATTTTGGGACAGAACGGGATTATATGGGGCAAGACATTGCTTTTATGCAGATATTGCTGAGTACTCAAGGCTTGATTGCAACATTCAGCGGTCATGATCACGGAAACGACTGGTATGAACACGTTTTCATGCTTGCCCTCTCCTTTTGACGCCCTTCGTCGCTGATCATTACGTAATTCTTAATAGGTGCTTTAATTGGAACCGTCAACTACCTGGTATGAACCTGACAGGAAATGAATTGAATATGTGCTTTGGGCGACGAACAGGGTATGGAGGCTATGGTAACTGGCCACGTGGTGGACGGCAGGTTTTCCTGCACGAGCCAATCACCGAAACATCTGTGCAAACCTGGGTTCGAGTAGAAGATGGGACCGCAAGCAAACAGGTCACCCTCAATTCGACCTATGGGCATTATCCGTACACAGAGGAGAGTCAAGCCTCAAAGTCCGCTGCGATAGCGCTGATATTGATAGTTATAAATCTTTTGTCATGGTTGTTGTGACTTCAGGTGATATAAGCTCCAGTTCTGTGATTTACCTTTTATTCTCATCCATAAAGTAAATTATTATAAACCATATGAACGCGCTAGCTAGGTATCGAGAGGAGACGGTAAAGTCTGGGGTTATACTGGCGGTGAGTTGGAGGGAATGGAAGAGTATGTAACACTGGCGGACTCAGATATGCCTTGAGTAGAATGCTTAATTGTGGATTGCCCAAGTCAACTGCCAAGAACCTCTTTCCGCAAATGTAAGTGGATGTAGTCACGAATGAACACAGGCGGATCCTTGCCCAAGGGTTTAATCTCTACTTTGACTGTTCGGTGGTTTCAAATTTCAAATGCAGTGTTACATCGCAGCTCTGGTTGGTTACCGCCAGTTTAGTCCATTTACGTCATCAAGAGCTCGAATTGATCCAGCTCACATTCCAGATGATGAATCATTATTTTATGTCCCGTGGCGATATTGTAGTGGTAATCACCCCAAGGGAGCCTGGGGTTGATGATTTCATTTTCTGGAGATTACGATCGATTCCCATCGTCCACATGTACAGTCGTACCAACGACCTAATATTCCCTGTAGGTTGTTGTTTTCAGTTCTGCCACTCTGGAGCGACCCGTCGGTTCCTGTTATTCGCACGGTTTTCGTCCGACGGCGAACACCTCAGATCTTCTTCCTCGGTAATCGGCCAACTAATTACTAAAAGATAGTTACCATCTCCTCCCAATTTCTCTCTCTTTGTATCTATACCCCTGTATTCTCGTAATTCGCCGCCAAGATGAATCTACAAAACGCTCATCTTCAACCGCGCATTTCCAAGAAAGCCCCCTTTTCAGTGGAGGTCCCTGGCGTTGAGGCGGTGCCGGGAGAGACTATCCCCCGTCGGCTGCCAGCGGCAAAGGATGGACTCATTCTGATACCTGCGGTGGGTGTCGAAACAACCTACGATGTCTTCCGCCGTTCTGCGCGCGTGTTCGGTAACACAAAGGCTGTCGCAAGTCGCCGCTTGATCAAGACTCACGAGGAGAACAAGACGGTCAAGGTGGTCATTGATGGCGTCGAAAATGAGGTCGACAAGAAGTGGACATACTTTGAGATGAGCCCTTATAGCTACAAGAGCTTCGTCGAGTATGAGCAAATGGCTCTCCAGCTTGGTGCAGGCCTGAAGAAGCTTGAACTCGAGCCGGGAAACAAAATCCATCTTTACGGTGCAACAAGGTGAGTGAGTTGTTTGACTCAGTACCAATGTTGTTCGTTCATTGGTCAATAGACCGACATGTATTATTAGTGAAAACTGGCTGGCCATGTCACACGGTTCGTTACAATTGTCTTGCGCGCTTTGGTGTTCCACATACTAATTCTGAGCAGGGGCTGCATCCCAGTCGTTGACTATTGTTACCGCCTATGATTCACTCGGAGAGGATGGGTTAAAGCACTCCCTCGTCCAAACATCCAGCGTTGCCATGTTCTGAGATCCCAATATCATTCCCTCAGCGACAAATGTACTCCAGGACGTTAAGTCGATCAAGCATATCATCTGGAACTCGCACCTGGCACCCGAGCAGGCAGACCTGAAAAGGCTGAAGACTGAGTACGCGGACATCAAACTTATCAGCTTCGAGGATCTCCGGATGCTGGGTGAACAGAATCTGGTGGAACCTGTCCCGCCATCTCCTGAAGATCTCTGCTGTATCGTGTACACCTCCGGATCTAACGGCTTACCAAAGGGTGTTCCTCTTACCCATAAAAACGTCATCGCTGTAAGTAAGCTCACCCACTGTTCGCACCCGTATGTGCGAAAACTAATGTCGAGTAGCCGCCGGCATCAATTAACTTGTCACATTACTTCTGTTTTCTTTAATTAAATTTGTCTTACCTTTTCTAAGCCCTGTACTGATAGCTTTGGGTCCTATACACCTTTTCAGGCATATCTCGGCTGAAATACATTTGGAGTTATCCAACTTTATGCCTACCAATGGCTTATAATTAAGCTGTTCATTATTCATCATCTTCTGCACAGCGCCATGGATTATTGTGTTCGAAGAGCTCTACACTGAATGTCATAGTGTCCGAGGAGAGTCACTACTGTGCTTAGGACTGGTGTTCCCTGCTCTGAGGTAGGTCGCTAAAGGTCATATGAAAGACAGAATATCCAGTTGTATGAACGCACTATCACTACGTATTGCTACAAATGGGTCTGCTCTGCTCAGCCTTTCTGTTTTAGTGCATGTCCCTAGTATCTCTACAGGACACACTGCGTGATAACGTAGTCCCTAAGACCTCCCTGGACTACTATCGAGAACTTTTACACGCAGATCAAAGCGACAAGCTTCCTGACTACTATGAAGGTATAGCCACTATCAATAGGATCATACGTTCCCACTTAAGCAGTTGGCTGTATTCATGATCATCGATGGGTTCAAATAGGACATTGCTACTGCTCCCTCCATCCAATCTCGGCCGGTATTCTGTAAGTTGTGTACGTGGCGAATGACTCGGTTTGTTGTTGTATATCAATGGAGCGAAAATATTAGAATCTGAAAGGAACCGTCATGGTGTATAATTTAGATTCGTGTCGGTCCAGAGGGCTGGATTAGGACTCACCCGGTCGAGGAAGTCTATGAGTGCTTCAATGAACAGGCCATCAGAGTGGCGCCCATTAGCTAGGCGTGGATCATGGTGAGTGGAATGTGCGAATTCCAGGCCGAATTCCCGGTCACCAAGGGCGCACCGTTGACTCATCTGCGACCTAATGTAGCGAATGTGAGAATTATTGAGCCAAGCTTTTACCCCTGATAGAAGCGAAGTTTCTGACGTCCGTACGAGAATCGCGGAGTAGTCGGTGCAATGCAGTATATAAAGGAAAGTGTGATATCCCCTGATACACAAATACAGTAGTTGGGTATTGAATCACCGTCAGAAAACCTTATTTTCTTCACGTTACTTGCTATTGCCATCCACCAGTTAGTTACCCGCAGGTTCTCCCTATGGGGAGATTACACATTACGCGTGCGTTCTCGATAGTGCATTGGGCTGCAAATTTACATTCTAAGGGTGTCAAAAGCTAGTACCGTGATTCATGCAGAGGATACAATTATGGAAAAGATTATCATATGCTATTTATTCTAACTAGCAGCCAAAGTATATAGCCCAACGGGTGGTAGGGAAAACCAGCGGAGTCGTGCGTGATTATATGCAGACGTATCTTTCTTTCTTTTTCTTTTCTAATTTCTCCCCCCTTTGAAAGGAAAAAAGCATTTAATTGAGCAGGGGGTTGTATTTGAGCAAATATGAGTTGTAGCAATGCGCTAGACACCTACTTTCATATGACAGCTCGGCTGCTCTACAATGGTTGTTCTTTTTTGTAACATAATCTCTCCACAATTTAAGTCACTTAAATCTGCAGAGTAACCAGGGTGTCATTCACCGCGATAATTTCATCTTTTGAACGAACGATTTGGCCATATACCACAAAAGACGAAGAATTCGCCTCCGTAGATAGGCAGGCGGCTAGGCCGAAACCGTAGATAGCGGTATTTTTACGGTTGACAAGTATGCACACCAACTCAACAGTAAAACCAAACCAGATTTGAGGCCAGCCGATCAATATTGTGAAAATTCCTATTGGTAACTCTATTACTATGAAAGCGAAGTCTAGCAATGCAAAGTTGATCCTTAGCTGCTAACTTTGGCACATTGTTTCTTCCCTGTCATCAAAACCTATTTTGGACTGGAGCCTCCTTACTTGCAAGGTATGTGCTGACGAGTCAAAACGCACCCTTTGGCTACATTGAGTGACGCATGGTTCAACCCCAGTATTTGGGCGGGTGCGATGTCTCCCTTACAGTGCCAATGAGTAGCGCTCATATTGAAGAGACCCACTATTGTGGAGTGTGTGTGTGCTCCTCTGTGGAGTCAGCTTGGTATCCCAACTCCTTATGGTCGCTCTGCGCATACACCGAAGTTCAACCTTGGAAGATTCCATGCTCTGGGCAAATTGTTACACATGGCTTTTACATTGATTTCGTTGGTCAGTGTTGCCTTTGCAAGCCGGTGAATCTAACCTGCGACTTTCAACATGTAGCCTGTTACAGGCCCTTGCCTAGCGTACCTTTCCAACTTTGTATAATACACTTAAATGGAGTCTTACAGGCAAGGTTATGTTCTTGAGTAACGACAGACAAGATCATACGTCCCCAATGACCTCTATTTGATTATTCCCTAGGTCGTTCGCTTTCCTAGTACCAAGCCTGGGAAAACCGTGTGTATGGCAGATCAATGGTACGAGGCTGGAGGATAGCCGGCATGCAGGGGCTTAGGTATCAAGGTCAACTGGGGGAGAAGGGCGAGTGCCCACAGACGTAAGGCCGTCAGCACAGGACATAGACCAAGTGACAGTGATCGCCGAGCGAAAATCAGCGACTCCACAAACGGGCTGGCTTGTACCGTGGCTCTCACTACCCCGCCCCGGATTTTCGCACCAACAATGTGCCGGGACCGTCGATCAAGGAGATACGTTGGAAGGCCAGCAGCGTTTGCCGACCATTAGTCGACACCAATTAATTTATAGACTTATCGATGTGAATATTTATGTGATTGGCCAGAAGTTCAGTGGATTTCACTGGCCGGCCGGATCTTTACCTTTTTTCTGTGTTCAGGCACTAGGCGTCCTTTCCTCTCCCCCTTCCCCCACAAAAATTCGTCAATAATAATGGGCCAGAAGGTGATCATCATATGTCATCAATGTTTAACTAATTGGATTGAGTGTCCAGACAAGATTTCCGATATTATTTCCATTCCCGTGGGACCCACATTGAATGGCAATACCTGTTGTCGCCTTGGCATTGATTGCTTCGCATCGGTAGAAGTTACTACGTTAACTTTATTCTCTAATCATATGTTACTCCCGAGTATTCGTCCAAGGACCCTGCAACCAGTTAGCTATCTTGGTTAGGTGCGACTTACCTCGATGACTAGAATCCACTAGTGATCAACGACGAAAGATTGACCAAGGGTCCGACGGTGATAACAACAAGTAACGATGCGATGCGATTACAGTCCAAGGTCAAAAAGTCGGGCCAATTAAGTACGTATACTGAATTTTTAGATAGTGCGAACTAGTTGAGGTGGTACAATCTTGAATGTAGCTATCAAGTAACTTATGATAATTGATCACGAATAACTAAACTAAGTACATGAATGAGTGTCCTTATATATTCTGTAATTCCTTCCTTTGGGTAGTCCTTTGGGATTCCGTGGTAGTATCATGGTAGTCTGTATGCCTCCTTCGATACCAATAGACTACAATGATACTACCAAGTCACTTGTAGTGTCGTAGTGACTGGTTTCGGCTGCCTTTGCCCCCATAGGCAAATAACACTTTTACGAAACGTTCAGGATTAAACATATGACTGTTACTTTCATCTAGGTATGAATCTCAGTACGACGGAATAGGCATGAGATACTAACTCCAATGCAAGGGGGATATCATTCCATGATGGAAGGGAATCCATATCTAAGAATTGCGCTGTTACTAAAACAGGAGCAGAAACGGAATGAATTTGTAAAGCCACATATACTTTCTTATGTTCTGAGTAGGCCTACCCCTAATATTAGTTTGTCTGAGCAAACATACATAATTAGTGACTGACACTCAAAGAGTAGTAAACACGGATAGCTAAGCGAAGACAAGGGGGAGTCTCTTATAGGAAACGTGGAATTCTTGTTTTTGTAAATTATAATACCCTTATTTATCTTCAACAACATCTGAATCTCTTGCCTTCATTGCAGACAACTAGCACTAGCACAGACGTCAATGATGACAGATCTCGCAGTCAAGCCCAGAACACTGCTGCCTGCAGTATGCCGTGGTTTTCAAAGGCCACATGCCCCTATTCTCCGCATCGAAAGGAAGTCAAAGCGGCGGAGCTTCGCTTGTACGTCGTGTCAACAAAAGAGAGTGAAGGTTTGTATTCGCTTTAATGCGCTGACTGTGCTTTTTAAATATAGCTCACGTTTGGAAGTGTAGTGGCCCGCCCCCCTGCGAGGCATGCGCTGTGTCGAAGTCTGAGTGTTCGTTCGAGCCTTTTACAGACAAGCGACGAAAATTAACCCTGCGGGTTGCTCAGAAAGATGCTGACAACTACCGACGTATCTCCGCGTATATAATCAGTATCCTGCGGTCTGGGAAGGAAGAGGATGTGAATATTCTAGTGAAGAGGATGCGAAAAGCCTCATCTCTCGATTTCGCTCTTACAGATCTGCAGTTGCTTGTATCTCAGACGAAGTGATTGCTCTTTATGTTTTTAGTTTCGGGTCCTCTGGTCTATGAAGCTGAATGCAAACTTGAGGGGAGGATGAGAATCATCCGTACTCCTTGTGGTGAAACCTAAAATGCCAAATATAAGTACGAGTTGGAGTGCACTTGACCTAGTTTTGTTTACACATTAACCCAACATTAAATACTAAGTCAGGTTGCTTTTTCTCGGCTATAATTGTAAGCATGATAAAAATTTATACGTTTAGTTCCTCTTAAAGCGCTTTTAACCTATAGTTTCCGAAAGTATTGTGAGTTATGAAATGTGCTCTTTAAAGGTTTATGAAGCCAACCCTCCCAACATCTCTTTATACAGTATCTTTGTTCACTTGATTAGGCAAGCACTCGTAGACAAGGTTGTCTGTTGGAATATAGGAGAGAGACAATGGTCTTCTAAGTTCTTTGATGGCTACTGCGCTGATATCAACACATGTATGCAAGATATACATATTTATTTCAACTGCTAATTTATATTTCAGGCATATGCGCGAGCATTCTACCATACTGGATATTCGGGTGTTCTCTATCTCGATTGGAGGATCCTGAACGATATAAAAACGGTTTCTGTCGTGGGTGTAACAGAGACGTACAGTATATCTCCATAACATAGCACCCTCTAGAGCTAATCCGGAGACTAGTGCCTTTTATTCTCATGCCTCAGCTTCTGTGACTTGCACTGAATACTATTGGTGAATAAACGATGTATGGTCCGCAAGCAATTTGGAATAATAGGCTCAGTATATGGTGATTGTTTGAGCTCCTTTTACATGCCCTTGTGTTTTGGTTCAACAGGAGAGAGAGATCCAAAAACATCAAGATGAGATACGCTACGAAGATTATCAGCTAAATGAACATATGTACTACCGGTAGTTATGGGGTGATGGGTAGAATGGGGTTTTCCTACTGTTGGAATCAAATCGCAAGAACCACACAGTATGCACACGAGGGTCTCTGGTCATGCTGGGCTGTGGACAGGCCGTGCAGTTACCTGCTTACTATTCACCCTGTGGCAATTACAGTATTTCACCAGTATACTTTACACCAAAGTACGTCACAGAAAGATTATACTAAAATACCTCAATGCATGAGGCTAATAAAATGACTATTTAATACCTGGGAGAACTAGCGGCCCCGTTACTAGGTAAAAGGGTAGAATATACAAACGAAACTCACAAATCTAAAACTTCCATTTCTCTCCTTAATTCTGTATACAAGCTTTACTAGATGGTTAGGATCGCCCTCTGAGTTTGCGGTACGGAATGGGGTCGCAATCAACTAGTGGAGACAGGGCCGGGCTTCTGTCCCCGCGCCCGCGCCCGCCGAAGACACTGTCTGATCTAGTGAATTCTGAGTTGATTACCGCTCAATCAGTTAAAGCTTTCCAACGATGGATCTCTTAGCTCCAGCATCAATGAAAGAACGCGGCGAGTGCGTTAACTAATGTGAATTACAGAATTCCGTGAATCATCGAGTTTTAAACACACATTGCGCCCACTGGTACTCCGGGGGTTGCCTGTCCGAGCGTCATTGCTGGCTGCCCATCAAGCACGGCCTGTGTGTTGG